TCTAACAAGTTTTCGGTTCAACCACGCTCCGATTTGTGAGACAGCCTGTGCAAGGTATGTACACGCTTGTGTGTTGAATTGAAGTTGAAACAAGTAGAACCCTTACTCCTAATGTGAGGGGATTCTAAGGAGCAAGAGTCAATGTGACAAGTAGCCAACAGTTGTCTGGTATTGGTATTGGCTTCAACTGTACTGACCTTGGAAGGTGTAGGGAAGATGTCTGTTGTGTAGTTTCTGTCTGAAATACGTGCTATGTTCTGCCAAGCATTAGCGTCAATATGTAGGTGAACAATTGTCTAATACTTACTTCAAAGTAAAGGTTGAAACTATAGTTTAATTTTTTGGGTAGTATGTAAAGGATTGTTTATGAACTTCAAGCTGAAAGAAATAAAACCGTTAATCCTAATGTGAGGGGATTCTGTGGGCGGGTGAGGTTTCTTCTGGAAGATAGCTTGACAAGAAATTGTCAAAGTTAGAGCTGCTGAACCCTAAACCCTAAACCCTGACCCCTAAACCCCACACCCTAAACCCTAAACCCAACTGCTTTCCATCCGGGAGGCGCTCGCGAGGTGTCGGCCTCCGGGTGCTGAATCTTGTGCACCTCATCCTGCCCACTTCAGGGTTTTAGGGTTTTAGATTATAAGATTTTAGGTTTTAGGGTTTAAGGGTTTAAGGGTTTAGGGTTTAAGATCTTAGAGTTTAGGGTTTAGGTTTAAGGTTTTAGGGTTTTAGGGTTTAAGGTCTAGGGTTTTAGGGTTCAAGGGTTTAGGGTTTAAGGTTTAGGGTTTAGGGTTTAAGGGTCTAGGGTGTAGGGTGACGAGGTTTGAGGGTTTAGGGTTGAGGGTAGGAGGGCTTAGGGTTTAGGGTTTAAGTTTCAGCGGCTAGGGGTTTAGGCTGTATAGGGCCCTGAATAATTGGAACAGGGTTCCTTTACAGGGGACTATAAGGGTTACTATAAGGGAGCAATATAAGGTAGTTTAGGATGGTTTAAAATTCAGAGTTTAGGGGTTTATGGCTTGAGGTTTAGGATGGTTTAGGCTTTCAGGGCTTAGGGTGACGAGCTTTAGCCGTTAGGGTTTGGGATACTTTAGGCTTAAGGGTTTAGGGTTTCAGGTTTAGGCGTCAGAGTTTAGGGGTTTAGGCTTTAGGATTTTTCGGCGTAGGGTTTTAGGTTTGAGGAATGAGGGATTTGGGTTTAGGGTTTAAGGCTCAGCAATTCCAGTTCGAGCAGTCTCTAGTCGAGATCACTCCTCGGGAATCGGAAATCATCCCACCCACCCAAGAGTCCCATAACTTTGTAGTTTCTTTAACTCTTTCATTGCAAAAGCTTAAATACAGACTAGTCGGCTCCCTGTTTTCTACCCTTTTGCGGAGGCTCTAATACCCCCCCCAAAAAAAAAAACGTAGCACCGGAAGTGCAAAATTGGGAGCCTGGATGGGCCGGCCTAAAAATCTCTAGGCAACGAGCTCTGCAAGAACGGCTTCTGAAACCCTAAAGCCTAAAGGCAAAACCCTAAACCCTGCAGCCTAAACCCTAAACCCCTGAGGTCCTAAACCCCTGAAGCCCTAAACCCCTGAACCCTAAACCCTGAAACCCTAAAACCTTAAACCCTAAACCCCTGCACCCCTGAAACCCAAAACCCTAAACCCTGAACCCCTGACACCCTAAGCCGAAGTTTAATCGGGCGTGATCCTTCCAAGCCTCTAAAGAAGTGTGACGGGTTAGAACCTGGGGAAGATGCTATAGCCTTCTTCAGCTTCGAACCGCCCAATGTTTAGGGTGTCTGAACAGATATACTACTCTACCATAATAATAATAATACTAATAATAATAACAATAACAATAACAATAACAATAACAATAATAATAATAATAACAATAATAATAATAATAATAATAATAATAATAACAATAATAATAATAATAACAATAATAATAATAATAACAATAACAATAATAACAATAATAACAATAATAATAATAACAATAATAACAACAATAATAATAAGAATAATAAGAATAATAAGAATAAGAATAATAAGAATAATAAGAATAATAAGAATAATAAGAATAATAAGAATAATAAGAATAAGCATAATAAGAATAATAAGAATAATAAGAATAAGAATAATAAGAATATTAAAAACAAGAATAAGAAGAATAATAAGAATAAGAATAAGAATAAGAATAACAATAATAATAATAATAATAACAATAATAATAACAATAACAATAATAATAATAATTGTTATTTTTATTATTAATAATAATATGTCCCGTACTTCACTACAATGTACTATGATATACGATGATATACGATGACATGCTCAAACATACTATACTATGCTATAATGTGCTATAGTTTTGGCAACCGGTCCGTTGCCATGCTCCGGCTTCCCGACTATGAAACGAAGTTGCGGGAACCCTAAACCCTACACCCTAAACCCTATTCCACTGGTCCGGGCCTCAGGGTGTGTGGCTGATAAGGTATACCTAAACCCCAAAGAACCTACTACCTTTTCAGGGCTCCTTTTTATGAGATCCGTATACAAGTCCTTAAAAAGGTAGGTCATGCCGGGTTAAGGTAGGGCTTAGGGGTTTAGAGTTTCGGGTGTAGGGGTTTAGGCTTTAGAGCTTGGGGCTTACAGGTTCATTGTTTGAGGTCTGTCTTTTGATGCTTAAAGGATCATGGGACTTAGTAAGTAGGTTATAGTTGGGGTTACAAGTCCCCTAAGTGGGGTTATCCTAATTGCAACCTACTCACCTTACTTACTAAGTCCCATGAGCCTTTAAGTGCAGAGCAACGACTGGCGCTCATTTTCAGTCCGAGTTCCGCAATGACCTCAGGTTGTGCATTCGGAGCAGAGGCGGCCAAAAACAAGAAGGTGGGTGGTTATCAAAATTAGGGTCCCTCGTTGGGGTCCCTATTATAGTACGGCACCCAGCATTTAGGGTACCCAAAAAGGGACCATAATTTTGGACAACTACCCAGGTGTAAAACGTTGACCGTCTCCGGTGTCGTGGTATGGAGTTTCCGAAAATAGGAGCCCTGATATAGTACCCTAAATAGTAGGATCCTCATTATGAGGACCCCAAAATAAGGCACCCCTAATTTTCGGAAACTCCCGTATGCAGGCACACGGATGGCCAACACGAGGCATCTTTGGGTCAAGGACTGGGACGCAAGCTAGTGTGCGGTTTAGAGTTTAGGGTCTCGGGTTTTAGGGTTTGCCTTAACCCGGAATAACCTACATTTTAAGGACTTATGTAAGGAAATTATATTAAGGAACCCCCAAAAGGTAGGTTTTCAGGGTTAAGGTAGGGTTTAGGGTACGGGAGCTGTCTATCCATCCATGTCGCCGTCTTCCTGCATGTCTTTAACCTGCTTCTCTCTGTGTAAGATTATTCAATTACAACTGCATATACATATGGGAGTTTCCGAAAATAGGGGACCCTAATATAGAACCTTGAATAGCAGGATCCTCATTATGAGGACCCCAAAACAAGGTATCCGAATTTTCGGAAACTCCCATATCATACCGTAGAGGTGCCAGCTTGAGTGCACCAGAACGACATACTTTACACTATACATCTACTTACGCGAGCAGCGAGATGAACCATGTGTCATACTGAGAGCACTAGAGATGCTGCTGTCAGCCGGGGAATGTCTTGCGATTTTTGTGACCCCCAGAAGCGGCGTTCTTTTTATGGAGCCAGGGCTTCAGAGCTACGGGGAACGGGAGATGGAATCTGCGGTATGGCCAGGCGCAGCCGTGCTCACTGCTTTACTGACGTAGGAACTTGGACGCCCCCTCTGACAATTGCCCTAGCCTGGCTGTCTTCAGAACGTGCAAGAATCTCCTAGACAAGCCTTTAAGAACGGACATATATAATGTAGGGGCCTTAAAGATTGGAAAAGGGTTTTGGGCTCCATGGTACCAAAATCAAAACAAGGAACCCCCAAAATAGTATAGGTATTTATTTAGGCCAAACCCCTACTATACCCCTTATAGTAATCCTTACTGCTCCTTTCAAAGGAACCCTTAAAGAAACCCTACCCTTTCAGTACATGGTGTCCCTATGTTCTACAACCCTACTAGAGACCCTTGTAGAGACCTTTTAAGGTACCCTTTATAATAACCCCAATAGAGCCCTGTAGAGCCCTTTAAGGTACCTTTATTGTAACCCCTCTAGACCCTTACAGAGCCCGCCCTTTGAGGTACCCCTTAAAAGGATAGTATAGAGTGTCTGGCACCAGGCAGGAGGAGGCCAAGTTCCCGGCCGAGGAGGGAGATTACATGCGCCAGCAGTGGAGTTTCCGGGATAGCAGGAGCGTTGAGTTTAGGGCTTAGGGTTTAGGGGTGTAGGGTTTAGGCTTCAGGGTTTAGGAGAGAATCCCCAAATCTGTAGAAGCCTGAACAAATGCGAAAATCATTCCGACTCATTCCCTCAATAACCACAGCATGCTCCGATCCCTTACACTACTTAAAGGCTCAAGGGACTCAGTAAGTAAGGCTATAAGTAGGTTATAATTAGGATACCCCCACTTAGGGGACTTATAACCCCAATTGTAACCTACTTACTAAGTCCCATGATCCTTTAAGCAATTGTTTAGAGCCACCGGTTGTTGTATACATGCCCCGATGACAGTACTGACCTCAGGTTAAACCTGCATGACCGACTCTGCAGGCGACTCGTGGACCCTAAACCCTACTAAACTCTACACCCTAAACGCTAAACCGCTGGAGAGGGCATGCTTCGCCCGGAGGTGAGACGATGTATGATGCATTGGATGAGATACCCATCGCGCTCTGCAACCTGTGCGGCCAGGGGCACCTGATTGTTGAGGCACCCTGGCGCAGGATATGTATCAGCACGAGAGGGCACTTTACGGTACCCAGAGACTCCAATACCCCTTAATTAAGGAATACTCCTTAAATCACATAAGGGATCCTACTATACTCTAAGGTATATTCCTTAATTAAGGCATATTGGAGTCTTAGGGTACCGGTCCTTCAGGATGGCTATCCCCATCCTTTGTGCCTTCTGCAGGCGGCACCTGCTCTGCGGCAGGCGCAGACCCGGCTTCTTGCCTAGGATGCCCAGTAACCCAGGCTTTAGGGTTCCTTTAAGGGATCCATAAGGGATCTATAAGGGTAGGGTTTAGGGTTTAGGGGTTTAGGGGTTTGGGGTTTAGGATGCCCAGTAACCGAGGAATTAAAAGGACTCCCTTTTGGGTATTGGGCTACTTTATAAGGAACCTACGACTAGAAAAGGGAAAAAGGGCCCACTGGGAGGCCTAGTTGCTCCTCCTCATCCTCAATCTTCTGACTCCCCCAACAGGGGATGTCTGGAAGAACACACCGGAACGGATTGCAGGTTTGCTGCCATGGTAGGATCACGTAGAAGAACATGAGTGGTATTTGCGAAAATGCGAAATGTACACCTGGTCCTGAAGAGCAATTCGCGTAGCAGGCAGAATGCCCTGCGTAGCCGCAATCCGGCTCAAGAATCGCGACCCATGCGTAGCCCGCCACTGCAAAGAGGCAGAAGAAAGAGCGGAAAGCGCCCGAGGGATTGCAATCACCGCCTCTAGCACCAATTTTGGAGTCGTCGTGGAGCTGCACCACAATCCACGCGAAGGCGCATACTAAGGCCATGGCCGCAAGACTCCACATGAAGCCTTGAAAGTGCCTGTCCCCTGGGATCACCACCTCAACCAAGCCGGCGAGTACCACGACTAGCCCGAGTATCCGAAACATTACGTTGATACACTTCTCGTTGCACTTGGCCTGTACTGCTCCGCAGCTGGCAAGCAGTTGGCAGCTCCATGCCAGGATGATGACGACTTTGCTGAGCTGGATGGCCCAGTTCATATCACCCGGGTAAAACTGCGTGGCAAGCCCCGCCTAGGATACCCAGTAAGAATAAAAAGGCCTCTCTTTTTGGTATTGGGTAACTTTATAAGGAACCTAGGACTACAAAAAGGGAATAAGGGTACAACTGGAGATCCTAGCCGCTGCGCCGTACCCCAAAGTAGAGAGGATGTAAAACCGCACGTGGAGCTTGTCCGAGTCCCAGATCCCATCATCAAAGTCCCCGTTCTCCTGGGCTTTTAAGTAGGGTTTAGGGTTTAGGGGTTTAGGGGTTTAGGGTTTAGGGTCTAGGGAGAAAAAAGGTATAAACGTTCATGTCATAAGGGTTCCTTTAAGAAAAAAGGTATTAAAGTATGCCACTCCAAAGCCCTAAACCCTAAACCCTAAACCCTAAACCCTAAACCCTAAACCAAAGCCCAGTTTCATCAACCCTAAACCCTATACCCTATAGATCCCTTAATGGAACCCTTTAAAGGTACCCTTGTTAGATCCCTTTAAAGGAACCCTAGGACTTATATCATCAACCGAAGGAACCCCGGATTAACCAACCGTCCAAAGCACCCTTGTCCTTTTAGAAGTAATAGACAGAGCCCTATACCTATATCCCTTAGTAGGAATTATTTAAGAAGGTCTACTAGCCGGTCTGCTTATTCTTTTGGGGGAATCATGAAAAAGGACAAGGCTGGTCCTAAGCCCAGCTTCATCCTTTTCCCAAGCGAAAGGCCTCGTACGCAGCAGCAACTTCAGAAGCAACCCCAGAAGGAGCGAAGCCCCGGCGTCGACATATAGGGATATCCTGTCTTCTTCAACAAAAAAGGGCCCAAAACCCTAAACCCGAAACCAAAGTTCCTCTAGGTTGGATTTTCGGACATCTTTTCTTTTCCTTATTTGGGTTTATAAGGGGCCCTATATATACTAGGATACCCAGTAACCTAAGAATAAAAGGGCCTCTCTTTTTGGCATTGGGTAACTTTATGAGGAACCTAGGACTACAAAAAGGGAATAAGGGTACTACTGGAGATCCTAGTTTGGGTTTACAAGGGACCCTCTATATAAATATTTTCCAGGATGTTTAAAGGCCAACCCAGTCCTGTCTTCTTCAACAACCGGGCCCAAAAAAGTTCAAACTTTCTAAGATAGAACTCATAAAAAAAGTTTAGGGCCCAAAAAAGTTCAAACTTTCTCAGATAGAACTAATAAGAAAAGTTTAAAGCTCTCCCATTCGCTATCTAAGTATCAACGTAGCCTCATGAGAAGCTGGGCTCTCTTGGGGGTCAGGGATCTCAGCTCTTGGCCAAATCTGGCACGCCATGGCTAGCACTAAATCGCAAGGGGACTTCGCTTTCGACAGAAGATCCTGCAGCTTCTGAGATTCTATGTTTGCGCCCAGTAACCCAGGCTTTAGGGTTCCTTTAAGGGATCTATAAGGGATCTATAAGGGTAGGGTTTAGGGTTTAGGGGTTTAGGGGAATAATTGAACCTCAGCTCGGAAATCGGAAAGCTAATCTTGCTCGAACAGTCGCCTAAGATGGTCCCAAAGCTACTTGGACGGATGCAAAGCCCCCTTCTAGGCAGTCGGCAGCTATATGTTGAAGCGATCCCTGGAACATGGGACTTAGTAGCTGGTGCTTTGTTGAGTGCAACTATACGTCGAGTTACTTATCACCCCCAAGTGAGGTACTTTTGACTCAGTGAGCCCCATCATCCTACTTGGAGGGGCGGGGGACTTAGTAACTAGGTAGCAAGTAGACTTATAAGTACCCGAAAAGGGACCCTAATTGGGGTTATGGTACTTATGACTCCGTAAAATATCCTTATAGAATCCCTATAGATCCCTTTGAAGGGGCCCTTAAGGAACCCTTATAACCCCCCTTAAAGGGGGCCTTACTAAGATCCTACAAGCGCCCCACCTTGAAGTCACAAAGCTTTTCGATGGATTCGAGCTGCTTCCTCTCGTCCTTCCAAGAGACACTTGGAAGAGCAGGGGACTTTAGGCTTGGAGAAGAGCAGCAAATGCGACAAGAGTTACACAAGGCAACCTCTCTGGATCATGTATCCTGCACCCTCAGCTTGCAGCCTAACCCTAAACCCTACACCCCAAACCCTGAACCACTGGAACCCTATAAAATGCCAGCGAAAACCTGCCGGATCCCTGGAAAAACCAAAGACCCCCCACGCCCTGCACCCTCCCGGAGGTTTCAGTAAAGAAAGAGAAGAACCCCAAATAACAGTATCATTGCTACTCTCTGAAGTCACAATCAACACCCCGTAAAACCCGGTAGAAACCCCATGAAGGTAATGTAAGGGCCTTAAGAATTAGAATAGGGTTTTGGGGTATAGTATACCACGATTGTAATAAGGAATCCGCAAAATGGTATTGCTAGCCACTCAGGCCCCGATACTAAACCCCGTATAGTAATCCTTACTACACCTTTCAAAGGAAACCCTAAAAGGAACCCTCAGTTACTCAGGCCCCTATACTGATACTGGGGTTTAGGGTTTAGGGTTTATGATACTAAACCAGCAACCCTGAACCGCGAACCGTAAACATGCCCAGTTCCTCGGTCTGCGTGAGCTTCGTCAAGGTTCCTTTCGTGACAACCCACGCGTTGGCCTCACCAAAACTCCAAGGGTAAAAGGAGGGACCCTTAATAAGGACCCCTAGGTATGTACCCTTAATATAGCCATTATATACCCATTATATAGCCATGATACGCCTTTCCCCCTTTGAAAAGCTGCTGGGTTGGGGGTGTTGGGTCTATGGTTTACGGCTTGGGGTCTGGATTTAGGGTTTTGGGTTTAGGGTCCTCGGTGTAAGGTTTACTGATCATTTTTGTTAGTACTATTGGTATTGCTAGTTGTATTTCTACTATTGTTCTTATAGTTACTACTAGTTTTGCCGTTAGTGTCGTACTAGTAGTAGTTGTTGCTGTGTTTAATATTCATTGTTCTTATGTTTACTATTGTTGTCTAGTGTTGTTGGTGTTACCAGTGTTATGATTGTTAGTGTTGTCACTATTGCTTTTGATGTTATTATTGTGGCTACCGCTGAAGTTGTTATTATTGCTGTAGGTGTTGTCTTTTTCTCCTGGCTATTAAGTAATTACTACTGCTGTGTTCATTATCATCATTATTATCATTGTTCTTCTTATTCGTCTTCTCAATATGATTCTTCACTGCGTCTTCTTGTGCTGCTGGTGGTGGCGGCGGCGGCCGCGGTTGTCAGGGAGCCCCACGACCCGAAACGGCCATAAACCCGAAAATCCTACACATTCGAGCGTTTCAGGTTTAGGGTACTTGTACGGAATAGGGCTTCGGGTTCAGGATGCAAAGGAAAAAAAGGATTCCAGAGCGCCTGCTTCAACGCACGACTGCAGCTCGCCCAGGCTTTCACCGCTACTTCGAAGGTGTCACCCGTGATCGCTGCGTTGAAGGCCTCTTAGGGTGTAGGGTGTAGAGTTTAGGGTATAGAATGCAATATTTAGGGTTTATGGTGTAGGGTGGAGCGTTTAGGGTTTAGGGTTAATTAAGAAATGCTTTTGCAGTTTCAAGGGCTTCAAAAGGCTGGATAGCTATCCGATAGTATCTAGGATACCCAGTAACCTAAGAATAAAAAGGCCTCTCTTTTTGGTATTGGGTAACTTTATAAGGAACCTAGGACTACAAAAAGGGAATAAGGGTACTACTGGAGATCCTAGGTATTGGGTGGAAGCAGGCTTTTTGCTTGCTTGAATATTGTTGTCCTTCTTTGCCGTGGTTGTTCCTGCTTTCGTGCCTTTGCCAACTCCCCGCATCCCTTGATTTACAGGTCTCTGCGTCCTGCTATTTTAAGGCCCCCAAACAGCACATAAGCAAAAATTAGGATAGGGATATCCCATACAAATCCCCTTATGTGGGAAGCCCAATAAGGTACGGATATCCTTGTGAAATGCTTATGCTCATGTCTGTTTTGGGCCTCCTATACTTCCTCAGGATGCTCGCTTCGGAAAGTCTCCCGCTGTGGTGCCGGAGGCGTGACTCATTGTAAATAACACGATATGGACCACCCTCGCGCGTGGAGCACTTTGAATTGCGGGGAAAAGATTTAAAGTCTAGTATGTATTATATTTAGCATATATTTCATAGTACAAAATATATAAAGTATACAGTAATATTAGTTTACGGCACATACCATATAGTAAGCACTCAATACTCAGTGTTATATACGATATACTGTATAGTATAGCATATAGTGGAGTCTCTGAGTTACCGGCTGTAGCATGGGGTGCATTGTACTAACACCATATAACCACATAGAGGCGTTAGTACGTTTTCATCTGGTTCTGGGGCTGTTTGTGCGAAGGCATGTCTCGGACAGTAAGGGCACACTACTTCTAATCGTGCAGACCTGATTGATTGAGTTTGCGTTGCGTTCTACTGAACGTATGTCATATGACAGGCCCATACACCCTACACCCCAGTCATAGTGCCATAGGTTCCGACTATTCGGTATTCAGACTCCGGGATTGATCAGGCCAAGCAAGTAGAAGACTATGTGGGTCGCCGTTAGGACTTAGGGCTCAGGGTTGGGAATCCAAGGTTTGTTTTAAAGTGCACGGAATCCAAGGTTTAGGGTGTAGGATTTCGGGTGAAGTGGTTCGGGATTCTTTGCGAGTCATGCCAAGATCCTGCCTTCAGCCCCTTTTGCATCTCGCCGTTCAAGCAGTAAACCTCAGCGGCTTTCTGGTCTGGTATGCAGGTGTGGGAGGCTCAAGATAAGGGCTTTGAGGCTGGATATTATATGTGTGGCCTCTTGGGTTGCCGGGACAGCAATGTGCTGGGCCTTGGATCCGTGGGCACGAAAACAAAACTGCAAAACAAGGTCTCACCTGCTGCATAGTCCCTAAACCCTAAACCCAATTAAGAATTCTACCGTCATATATACCGAACAGCTCTTCTGCCTTAGGGCAACCGTACTCCAATACAACCTGAAACGAATTTTTGCGGGCCCGGGGTCTTGGTCCCTCTACGTCCTCCGACTGGAACTCCTCCACCCGAAAAGAAACTTTAATCATTAAACCCTAACCCCGACACCCCAGACTTTAAACCCTAAACCCTTTTGCAGTTTAGACTTTGTAGGACCCGAGTCCTAGAGTTGAAGCAGCTGTTGGAAGACGAAGGCAGAACTATAGCTGCACTGGACTTTGAAGTAACCGGTTTAGGGCTTTAGAGTTTAGGGCTTTAGGGTTTAGGGTGTTATGCAAACGTCAAGCAACGCCAGTAGTAATCTTCATGAAACTCAAGAAGAGTGTGGTTTAGGGTTCAGTGCTCTCCCCGAGCTCTTAAGCGTGCGCCTCAACCCCTAAACCCCGAACCCTCACTTGGAGGCCCTTTTGACTTAGTAAGTCTACTTAGTATCCCCTAGAAACCCCATAACCCACCTTACTAACCCTACTTACTAAGTCAAAAGGGCCTCCAAGCAACCTAAAATCTTCAGCAGAGACGCCTGGCAGCGGAGGATGTTCAGCCCCCTGAGACTTTCCGTGTCATCCTGTGCGCTGAGCATTGATCCAAGGGTAAAAGGAGGGACCCTTAATAAGGACCCCTAGGTATATACCCTTAATATAGCTATTATATACCCGTGACCCCACTAGTAAATCCCATGAATGAACCTGCAAGTAGGGGTTTAGGGCTTGGGCCTTGGGTCTTAAGGCAGAGGATTTATGAGAAGTTTGTAAGGTTGAGAGTTCACCTGGTTCCTAGATAGGCCCCCCAGACATGAGGCACACTTTGCCGTTTTCCAATCTTGAGAAAGGTTTAGGGTTTAGGGTATGAGGCATACTTTCCCAGTTTCCATTAGGGTTTAGGGTTTAGAACCCGACAAAAATCAAAAGACTGTCGGTGAGACGATGGACTTCGTCAGCGATGACGGCTTGCGACATCCGATTGGCCCCGAAATGCCCTAAACCCTAAACCCTGAACCCTAAACCCTAAATCCCAAAGAAGACAGGTCCCTCAGCAAGACCCCTGAGGTGGGCACGGGATCCGCGATGTCATTGATGACCGCAAGAGCCTGCCGATACCTCCGGAAAGGAGTCGGGGGGTCTAGGGCTTAGGGCGCAGAGGTTTGGGGTTTAGGGTAGGGTAGGGTAGGGTAGCAGGGTAGGGTAGGGTAGGGTAGGGTATAGGGTAGGGTAGGGCAGAGGTTTGGGGTTTAGGGTTTAGGGGTTTGAGGTTTAGGGGTTTAGGGGTTTAGCGGTGTTTTAAGGATCTAGGCTTTAGGGCTTTGGGGGTTAGGGATTATACAGCTCAGGGTTTGGAGTTTAGGTTTCAACTCTTTGCGAAGCTCGTGTCAGGCTTGAAACCGGCTATCGCTATAGGGTTTTCCAGGACTTCACAAGGTCTTGTAGGGTTCAGCTTAGGAAATCAAGTTATCAAGTTTGTCGGGTTCCTAGGATACCCAGTAACCTAAGAATAAAAAGGCCTCTCCTTTTGGTATTGGGTAACTTTATAAGGAACCTAGGACTACAAAAAGGGAATAAGGGTACTACTGGAGATCCTAGTAAAGGTTAGGCTTTACGGCACAGGGTTCGGGCCGCCTGGGGGGGGGAGGTCTTAACCCTAAACCTAAATTCTCAATCCGAGCAAGGCCCTAAGCCTTAAAACCCTTAACCCTGAACCTTGAAACCGTAACCCTAAACCCTGAACCCGAAAACTTAGCACCTCACCCTCAACACCTTGCGCCTGCAGAGGTCGACCGGCTTCGATGTCACGTGCTCTACTTAAGGGCTCATGGGACTTAGTAAGTAAGGTTCTTAGGGTAACCCACTTAGGGGACCTATAACCCCAATTATAACCTACTTACTAAGTCCCATGATCCTTTAAGTAAATGTCAGCGAGCAGCCAGGAGCAAAATGCGTCACGCGGCGCTGCAGCTCGCCACCCATGCAATGACCATCGATGTGCACTCGCACGGTTTCATCTTGGTACTTGAAGAAGATCTGGTAGAGCGGCTGTCCAGGATAACCAGCCTGGCAGGTAAGTAGGATCTCAGATAGGTCCATGCAGCCAGGCCTCGTGTGTAAATCCTTGCCTGTAGCACAGGCGCAAGGTCTACCGGAGATCCTACCTTTGCGATACTACAAACCACATGGATGGGATGCGACAAAGCCCACACAGTTGAAGCAGTGAAAGAAGGAGGAACGAATCCGTTAAAAGCGAGAAGTCCGCGGCAACTCAAACCGGCAACTCAATCCTGAACCCTGAACCTTAACTAGGATACCCAGTAACCTAAGAACAAAAAGGCCTCTCTTTTTGGTATTGGGTAACTTTATAAGGAACCTAGGACTACAAAAAGGGAACAAGGGTACTACTGGGCATCCTAGTTAACACCAAGCCCTAAAACCTGAACCCCTACACAAGTAACCATAAACCTTCAGCCCTGACCTGAAACCCTCGGGTGCCTCAAAAGCTGGGAAGGGGGTCGGTAGGATGAAGGATCTCCCTTTCTATGTGGGAGTTTCCGGAAATAGGGGAGCCTAATAATATAGTGCCCTAAATCATCGGACCCTTGTTATGAGGACCCCCAAATACGCTACCCCCAATTTTCGGAAACTCCCATATATGGGTTTTTAAGTGGTGATATCCCACCTATCTTCATCCCACCTTCCCAGACCCCCGAAAGGATCTAGAAAGTAGATCTCCTAATTTGGGGCCCTATAGTACTACATAAGGGTACTTTATAGGAACCCCCATTAAGGGATCTACTTTTTGGATCCTCCCGGGGGTCTGGGTCGAAGTACTGCTCTTTGAACCCGAAAAACGTGCTGGCACGGTGCTTCTCCAGATGAAGCGACGCCTCGCAAGGGCTGCGGACAGGGTCTGCTTGAGATTACCATAAGGGCCTCAACAAGTAGGGTCTTTGGGTTATAAGAATATATACAGAAATACATATACATATATGTATATATGTCTTTATTTATCTATATCTATTTATCTGTTCATTTGTATTTATACAGATAGGGTTTAGCCTAGGTCCAATGCGCTCAGCACTGAGAACACAAGAATCCAGCAAATGTCACACCCTCCCGAAACTCTACAAAACCCTCCGATGGAGTGCCGACGTAAAGTAGCCTTGAACCCTAAACCCTAGACCCCGAACCCTAGACCCCGAACCCTAAACCCTGAACCCTAAACTCCTAAAACCTAAACCCCTAAACCCTAAACTCCTAATCCCTAAACCTCTAAAACCCTAAATTCCTAAACCCTAAACCTCTAAAACCCTAAACTCCTCAACCCTAAACCTCTAATTAAAACCCTAAATTCCTAAACCCTAAACCTCTAAAACCCTAAACTCCTCAACCCTAAACCTCTAAACCCTAAACTCCTAAACCCTACACTTCTAAAACCCTAAATTCCTAAATACCCTAAACCTCTAAACCCTAAACTCCTAAACCCTAAACTCCCAAACCCTAAACCTCTAAAACCCTGAACTTCACCCTCCTGAAAACCCCGAGGCCCTAGACCCTAGTCCCTAAACCCTCAGGAACCCGCTTCAAGACTTCTGAGGCTCACATGGGGGTTTCCGAAAATAGGGGACCCTCATATATTACCCTAAATAGTAGGATCCTTGTTATAAGGACCCCAAAATAAGGTACCCCCTAAGTTTCGGAGACTCTAAACCCCGAAACCCTTTATAGAACCATTATAGATCCCTTTAAGGAACCCCTATGGATCCCTTTAAAGGTACCCCCTATTTTCGGAAACTCCCACATTATGCCCTGAGTCCCTGATCGAACAGCCCTTCACTTAGGAAGGGGTTTAGAGTTCAGGGTTTAGGGTTTAGGGGTTTGGGGTTTAGGAGTTTAGGGTTTAGGGTTTAGGGGTTTAGGGTTTAGGAGTTTAGGGTTTAGGGGTTTAGGGTTTAGGAGTTTAGGGTTTAGGAGTTTAGGGTTTAGGGGTTTAGGGTTTAGGAGTTTAGGGTTCAGGGTTTAGGCGTCAGGGCTTACGGTTCAACACTGCTTCAGCTTTGGTTGTGCATATTATTGTGCTGGCTTGATACGATAGAAACTCTGTGGCTCGCCTTAGCATGCTGCTTCAACGAAGATTCGTTGAATTGTTGACCTCATATGCTTGGTATGATATAAAGAATGCCTTAATCAATGTGTATTGTGTTTTTCAGGGGTCCCTAAACCCAAAGCGCTGAACACCTGAAACACCTGAGAAAAACCCTTTAAAGCAACCTCTAAGGAAGCCCTCAAAAGAATACTTTCAGGAGCGCTTGACGCAGCCTGTGCCAGGACCACGAGGAAGTTGAATCGGTCCTCCACGGCCTCCAACTCCTGAATCTGGGTTCTTGTTAAGGAGCTTAATTTAAGTTACCATGATAAGGAAACCCTATTATTTACGATAGATCCTTATTATGGTAACTTAAATTAAGTTCCTTCACAAGAACCCAGTTGACTTCGGGGCGTCTGAAATATGAGCCTTCAGGGCCTTGGACTTACTTGGAGGGGCAGGGGACCTAGTAAGTCGCTTAGGGTACCTATAACTCTACTTATAACCTACTTACTAAGTCCGCTGCCCCTCCAAGTAAGGCCCTGAAATACGAAACACTAGAGTTGGAATTGTATAGGGTGTTGGATGTAGTGCTTGCTTTGCGGCTTGAGGCTTCTTTTAGGGGTTTCGGGGCTCTGAAGCCTAAACCCCTAAAGCCCTAAACCTCAAACCCTAAACTGAGTTGGGTGAGATTACGGCTTGAGGGCTCCTGGGTTGCCACGCTTTAATGCTTAGGGCCTTAGGGGGTTTACTAAATTTCTTTTGCAGGAGGTCCGTGGCCAAGGTTTTGTTGAAGGAGGTTTAGGGTTTAGGGTTTCGGGTTTAGGGTTTCGGGTTTAGGGTTTAGGGGTGGAGAGGTAAGGTGTTTTTTGTTGAGCGGGGTGCCGCAGCTAACTTGGGGAAGATCTGTTAAAATGTGTCTAAAACTGCTGTTGCATATGAAGGATCTACGTGGGACCTCTGAGTACTTGGAGGGGCAGGGGACTTAGTAAGTAGGTTATAAGTAGAGTTATGGGTACCCTAAATTTAAATGGGGTTACCCCAATGATAACCCTACATAAAAACGACTTACTAAGTCCCCTGCCCCTCCAAGTAGACCCTAAACCCTATACCCTATACCCTAAACCCTATACCCTAAACCCTATACCGACTTACTAAGTCCCCTGCCCCTCCAAGTATACAGGGTTTAGGGCTGCAAGCTTCCATCCTACTGTTGATGGACAAAATCCTGCATGACCCTAAGGACTCTAAACTATGGGAACTATGGTATATTCCTTATAATGGGTAATGCAGGATTTTGTCCATCATCCTTTCATCCCCAGAATCCTCCGGCTTCTACTCTGCAAGTATACAACCCGTGCCCCTTCCTCTGGGCATCGCGAGCAAACAGACAGCAAAACATCGAAAGTCCAGAAGGTTGAGCATCTTTAGGGCTTTTAGGGCTTTTAGGGCTTAGGGTTTAGGCATCTTTAAAGCAACACATCGAAAGTCCAGCAGGTTGAGCATCTTCGCTTAAAGGCTCATAGGCTCATAGGACTTAGTAAGTAAGGTTACAGTAGGTTATAAGTAGGATAACCCCACTTAGGGGACCTATAACCCCAATTAGAACCTACTTCCTAAGTCCCATGACCCCTTAAGTAGGGCTGTTAGGGCTTAGGATTCGAGGCCTCCGAGCTGTGGATCTTGGGATTTGAGGCTTCGATTTCCGGGCTCACGCCTTTGCGCCAGAGCAGCAAGAAACCTTTGAGGAAGAAACCCTAAACCCTAACCCCTAAACCCTAAACCCTCAAGCCTAAACCCCTAAACCCTAAACCCTCAAGCCTAAACCCTAAAACCCTAATCTTCCTCATTCTTCCGACCCCGACATGCAGGCCCTCCTCCTTCTTTTTGCATCCTAGTACTGAGGCCCTTGACGAAAGCGGCGACAGCACGTGCCACGAGGGCATGCCGGCCCGTAAAGAAAGTGAGCTTATCCTTGCCCAAGCGCGATGCCCTAAACCCTAAATCCTAAACCCTAAATCCTAAACCCTAAATCCTAAACCCTAAACCCTAAATCCTAAACCCTAAATCCTAAACCCTATATATTACCGAACGAACTAGTCCAAGCATTCAAGGCCCCAGGTAAGCCGAAAGCCCTCAGACCTAAGCCGGAAGCAGGCCTTGAACTGAAAAAAATCCTAAACCCCAAGCCCTAAAACTCTGAATCCTATGCCCTGAAATCCCAAAGCCCTGAACCTCTGATCCACGGGTAAAAGGAGGGACCCCTAGGTATATACCGTTAATATAGCTATAATATACCCATTATATATCCCATTCTAGGGTAGGGGTCCCCATTGAGGGTCCCTCCTTGTCCCCATTGACCTAAGATTGCCGAAAGGCGGACACCCGCTTGAAGCCGCGGAGCAAGACCTCGCAAATCGCTACGGCTTAGGATTTAGGGCTTAAGATTTAGGATCTAAGGTGTAGGGTGCAGAGTTGAATTTAGGGTTGAGAATTTAGGGCTTAGGATTTAGGGCTTAAGATTTAGGATTTAAGGTGTAGGGTGTAGAAGATGGGATTTAGGGCTTAAGATTAAGGATTTAAGGTGTCGGGTGTAGAAGATGGGATTCAGGGCTTAAGATTTAGGATCTAAGGTGTAGGGTGTAGAAGATAGGATTTAGAGTTTAGGGTTGGATGTAGCATTGTAGGGCTTGGGGTATTGGGGTTTCTCAAGTTCAGGGTGTGAGTTTACGTGTTTTCTAGGGTACACGTTGTGAGAACACAGCCAGGTCCGGTTTGGGGCTTACCTATGGTCTCCGATGTCTAATGTAGGAACCTGATTAAGAAACCTTGGGCCTTTATTAGGGTTCTTTACATGAATCCTACTGGTTCCTACATTACCGATTCCACCCGAAGGGCCCGAACCATAAGCAAGCTAACCGTGCGAATCGCAAGCACTCAAAACACCCTTTAATCCCTCGCCCCCGGCCCTTAACATAGGCCTCAGTAAGTAGAGTGGGCTTCGCGGTAAAAAAAACAACGGTATAGCCAGGTAAACCCTAACCCCTAAACCCTCAACCCTAAACCCCAAACCTTAACCCCTAAACCCTAACCACAAAAAACCCTCAACCCTAAACCCTAAACGCTAACCCCTAAGCCCTAACCCCTAAACCCTAAACCCTAAACCTTCCTAAACCATAAGGATGATAAGGAACCCAAACGAACCGTCTTCGTGCCTGTACATGCCACCCTTGTCCTTTCGAAATAATAGACAAAGCCCTATACCTATATCCCTTAAATAGGAATTATTTAGGAAGGTCTACTAGCCGGTCTGTTTATTCTTTTGGGGGAACCATGAAAAAGGACAAGGCTGGTAGTACATGCTACACTGACATTTGGAACCAAACCCAGAACGAATCCTCGGGGCCTCCTCAAACCCCAAAGCTTCAAAGCTCAAGTTTAGGGTTTAGGGTCGAAGGTTTAGGGTTTAAGGTTTAGGGTTTAGGGTTCAAGGTTTAGGGTTTAGGATTCAAGGGTTAAGGTTTAGGGTTTAAGGTTCAGGGTTTAGGGTTTAAGGTCTAGGGTTTAGGGTCTAGGGTTTTGGGGTTTGGGGTTTAGGGGTTCGAGCTTATGGGCCTCAATAGTCTAGGCTAGGGTTTTGAAATCTCATGTACTGCAGTTCTATTGAGGACTTTTACAAGGAGTACGATTGAAAGTATTGAGGCCCTTGTGCTATACCCAACTCTGAAACTTAGACGCTAGATCCTACGCCCTTATCCCTGGAATCCGGACCCGAAACTGTACATGCAAGAACGAAAATGCTGAACGGTAAACCCTTCGTGATAACTCTCAATAAGGAGTCCTCAACCCTAGAATCGAAATCCTGCAAGCTCACTCTAAGCTCCAAGTCCTACCCCTTGAAACTCTAAACATGCCACAGCACATCCCAAATCAAAAACCTACATTCCCTGTCATATGCCGTACGGCCGAAACCATAGCAATACCTTCTAGCAAGCCCATGTAAGCCTCTGTGGAAACCTGCACAGCTGCATGTATGTGCATTCATGTATGTGCATTCGTGCGTGTGTGTATGCATATATACATGAAAAAGCAGACATGCACACACACAATTTCTATATATATATATATATGTGTGTGTGTGTATATGCATATTTGTATATATATATATATATATACAGACACGTACATACTTACTTAACGATTCATAAGTGGGCGGCAATGCTGTAGCGGAATCGAAATTCCCCCAAGTCTTGGCCACCCTTGTCCTTTTAGAAGTAACAGACAGAGCCCTATACCTATATCCCTTAGTAGGAATTACTTAAGAAGGTCTACTAGCCGGTCTGTTTATTCTTTTGGGGGAACCGTGAAAAAGGACAAGGCCGGTCTTGGCCGCCGGCATTCGCACAACGATCCCACTGCTCGTCCACAGAGTACGCCTTTAAGGGCTTAGGGTTTAGAGTTTATTTTTTTGGTTTAGGGTTTCGGGCTTAGGGTTTAGGGTTGGGGCTTCCTTGTTATAACTTATAAAAGAAGATATCCCCAAATCCCATTCTAACTATTCAGGCGCCTATATTAAACCCTTCACACTTCCCCACCAGGGAGGGTTTCGAGTGGCGGGGTGTGGATTTTGAGTTTGCCCGCGTCCTAAAACCTAGACCCTGAATGGCCACACACACTAATTCGTAAGCCCTACACCTTGAACGCGAACCCTAAACCCTAAACCCTTAAACCCCAAGCTCTAAACCCTCAACCTAAACCATCCTAAAGCCATCCTAAAGCCATCCTAAAGTCCTAAAGCCTAAACCTCAAACGCTTGAAGATTTTTGCAATGCCTTCGGCTGTTGACAGGCCTTTGCAGTCAGCGGGCTCGGTTCGGGGTTTACGGTAATCCCTTAAAACATGGGGGTGCCTGATTTCCGATTGTTCATGTTTAAGAAACAGACCATGCAGGAATGCAGGAAAGTGTTCAAGGATACGAGCTGGCGCCTTGGATTTTTGGGTCGGTAGATTTATGTAGAATACAAACGTACTAAGGAAGAGAATAAGGGATGATGGTGGTAGTTGTTCATGCTTCTTTTTCACTGCTGGGGGACCTGGGTCCGGGACGTTGTCCAAAACTTGCATCGTTCTGGGGCGGAGCCTCCACCCCTCTGAGGCATCAACCGTCGATGCTGAAACCCTCAACCTGAAACGGCCCAAAACGCTACCCTGCCTTGCCCAGCTCAAAGATCAGTGTCATGTTGTAGGGATCCTCGCCAAAGTCGCAGCTTCACGGCTTTGGATCAACAGGTTTGGTGTCGGGGTGAAACCGACACCCGCAACCTTCTAACCAAACACCCAACACCAAATCCTGACCTCTACACTTTAGTACTTTAGGGTTTTCGGGCATTTGCAGCCTTTGCGCGAAACTCTTTTAAGAGATTGTCGGGATATGTAAATATGTACGCTGTGAGCCATGTTTCGAATCATGCTACTTCCAGAAGCCACACTACACCCCACTAATCCGCGCTGCAAAAACCAAGACTCAGAACAACCCCGAACTCAAAAACCCATCCGAACGAACAGCTTGGGTTTAAGTGCTTTGAGGTTTAAGCTTCAGGGTTTAGGGTTTAGGCCTTGGGGCAAGTACATGCCCAGCCCTAAGACCACGACATGATGCTGAGAGCTATTCACGTGCGCAAGGCAAACCCAAATCCGTCGTTGTTTAGGGTTTAGGGTTTCGGGTCTAGGGTTTTGGGTTTTGGGTCTAGGGTCTAGGGTTTAGGGCTTAGGGTTTAGGGCTTGCTGGGAATGTCCTTCGCGAGCTCGTCCTTGAACTTCTTGGCTTCGTTCGATGTGCCCGGCTTCGGATTCCTCAGACTTGCTTCTTGATCTCTTTTTTTTCTGAACCCTAAACCCTAAACCCTAAACCCTAAACCCTAAACCCTCTTTTCTCCCCGCCTAGGTTAGGTTGGTTGCAAGAATCTCTGAACCCTAAGATTTGAACGCTGGACCCCTGAAGAGCTTGAAGCCCGATAGCCCGAACCCCTGAACCTCCCTAAACCTTAAACCCTAAACCCTAAACCCTAAACACTAAACCTTAAGCCGTAGACCCTCGAGCCTGAAGCTTAAGCCGAAATCATGAAACTTACAAGCTCTGAATGCCAGGCATGCGTAAAGGATCATGGGACTTAGTCAGTAGGTTATAATGGGGGTTATAAGTCCCCTAAGTGGGGTTATCCTAATTATAACCTACTTATAACCTTACTTACTAAGTCCCATGATCCTTGAAGTGGGATTTTAGGTTTAGGATTCGGGAGCTGCGGCATCAAGGGGTCGGGAAATCGATGGCAGGGGCTTGCGGGCTTTAAGTTGTGGTTTCAGGGTTCAGAGTTCAGGATTTAGGTTCTGGGTTTAGGGTTTAGGGATTAGGGTGTTGGGTGTAGGGTTTAGGATTTAAGGTTTAGGGTTTAGGGTTCAGAGCTCAGGATTTAGATTTGCTGTGGCACCCGATTCCGTGCAGACTCCGTATGAGCTCGGTTTGGGGTCGTCTAGAGTTTTAGAGACTTGGGAATTCTAAGGGAAGCTTTAGGGGAGGGACTGATTACCCGGGCGGTGAAGGATACAGGGTTTAGAGCCAAAACTCCACACCCATAAGACCTGAACCGCCTAAAGCCTAAACACTAGAGCTTGAAGCCAGAAACCCTCAACCCGAAATCTCAAACCCTAAACCCTGAACCCTAAACCCTAAAGACCTAATCCTGAACTATTAACCCTGACCTCCCTGTAGGTCAGAGATTTGCCTCAAACCTTGCGGTCCCTTTGGCGTCGAGGCTATCGTGCACATGCCCTCAAATGGTTTTGCAGATTCGAGCTCATGCCAAAGAGACAAGCATGGTTGCCAAGCCCTAAACCCTAAACCGTACAGTGATGAGGAATCCTAGGGATGGTAGTAGCAATTGTCCAGGCTGCTACAACTCACTACTAGATGAACCAATACTCACCACTCCTCGCTGGAGGCTCCCGTGACAAAACCTGCACCCCAACTCCTGAGCCCCTAAACCCTAAGCCCTCAACCCTAAACTCCAAACCCTAAGTCCTAAACCCTAAACCGGGCAAAGCCCCTAAACCCCTAAGCCCTAAACCCTAAACCTAACGCGAAACCCCACAACCGAAACCATCCTCATCATTAGAGGCCCTATAAGTCCTAAACCCTGAACCGGAAAAAGCCCCTAAACCCCTAAGCCCTAAACCCTAAACCCACCATCGTTGGAGGCTCCGGTGATCAAACCTCCACCCTGATGGGAGGCCAAACGGGGGGTTTAAGATTCTTGGGGTAGGGATTCCTGAATATGAACCCCATTATGGGAACCCGAATCCCTACTAAACCCCCATATGCTAAACCCCCGTTTGGCCTCCTATGATACCCTGAAAGCGATCTTGCCAGGCGGCGGCTTCATCTGCTCGAGGAGGGACCTTCGTCGGTGTAGGGTGACAGTCTATAATAGGGCTACCATTAAGGTCCTTACTTAGAGGCTCCACATATAGTACCATTATGGAATTAGGTCCCCAAAGCCATGATATGGATGGTCTTTTGGGACCCAATTCCATAGTGGTACTATTTATGGAGCCTCTGGGTTATATCTCTGTATTATGGATATAGTCGTCCCTATATATTCCCCCATAGTCGTCTCCATAACCGATTCCCGCATTCCCCACTACTTGAAGGATCATGGGACTTAGTAAGTAGGTGATCATTGGGGTTATAAGTCCCCTAAGTGGGGTTATCCTAATTATAACCTACTTATAACCTTACTTACTAAGTCCCATGAGCCTTTAAGTAAGAACCAAACAGGCGAGGCAGCCCTAAAGCCGTGCGAAACGCTTACCAGAAATCCGAATGATCTGGGCCAGGTTCCGTGTTACCAAACTTTCCAGAACTCTTATAGATCCCTTAAAACCCCGAAAACCTGAACCCTAAACTTTACAAAAGAAAACATAAGACCCTCCACTACAACTCCCCTCATAAACCTTCTCAAACCTTTAAACACCCTTCTTGATTGCCATGCCTTCTAGTTATAGAGCCCTTACAACACTTTTATGACACTTTTATGAGACCAGATAAAACACTTAAAACCCTTGCAGTACCGCCAGAACCCGGAGAATAACGAGTCTAAACACTTATGAACCTCTATACAATCCTTACGGACAGAAACTTAGGTAACCCAAACCTATCCCCCCTTAGAACCATAATGATAACATGTTGAATATTCTCTGCGGGTTTATATGAACAAAAACTTCAAAAAATCCGCCGAAGGAGATTATAGAAACAAACCAAACTAAACCTGAGCTCTAAACCCCTAAACCCTAACCCGTAAGTACACCCTGAATCCCAAACCCGAAGACGTTTGAAGGAGCCTTGAAGAATCCCTTTAAGAAGCCCTCAAAGAAGAATCCCTTAACGGAACCCCAAAAAAACCCTAAAGCCTAAACCCCTAAACCCCTAAGCCCCTAAACCCTAAACCCTAAACCCTAAACTCTAAACCCTAAACTCTAAGCCCTAAACCCTAAGCTCTAACCCCAAAGCCCCTAAACCCCCAAAGCCAGGGGGCGAGAGTTTCTCTTCAACTTCCTTCCGCTGGCCCGGAGTCATCTCAGGCGCTTTTGCCAGGGCTTCCTGGGCTCGTCTTCTTCGTCTACTGGGGGTAAAGGGGCCTTATAAAGGGGTATATAAGGGTTACTATAAGGGACTTATAAGGGTACTGTAATATAGGGACCCCAAACCTACTTAAAGGCTCACGGGACTTAGTAAGTAGGTTCCTTTAAAGGGCTCCTCTTAAGGGATCTATAGGGTTCCTTAAAGTGATCTATGGGGTTTAGGGTATAGGGTCTACTTAAAGGCTCATGGGACTTAGTAAGTAGGTTCCTTTAAAGGGCTCCTTTAAGGGATCTATATAGGGTTCTAGAAGGGGTAGTTTAGGGGTACTTAAAGGCTCATGGGACTTAGTAAGTAGGTTGTCATTGGGGTTATAAGGCGTAATTCTAACCTGCCCCATGAGCCTTTAAGCATCCTTTTCAGGGATTCTTTAAAGGTTGCGAGTTTTTTTTGAGGGCCCTTTTCCAACTGCAGTACAGCAAGGGTTCTAAGTTTAGGGTTTAGGGCTGCAGGATTAGGGTTTTAGGTTTTGGGTTTAGGGGTTTAGGGTTTAAGGTTTAAATCTTCGTTTTGGGGGGGGGGGGGCCAGCCCCTTGAAAGGGATCTACAGGGTTTCTGAATGGGTTCTTTGAAGGGATCTATAGGGTTCCTTAAAGGGCTCTTTAAAGGGATCTCTAGGGGATGTATAGGGTTCCTTAAGGGATTGTTTAAGGGTTCCTTCCAGCGATCTGTAGGGTTTAGTGCATCAGGGCGTTAGGATTAGGGTTTGGGGTTTAGGATTTCGGGTTTAGGGATCGTAGGGTTGATGTATAGGGGAGCATCGAAAAAGCACCGGTTTGCGGGTGAGGCGACAGACTCTGAACGTGAAATGCTTGAGATCCAAAGGAAACACTAAACTTAAACCCGAAGCCCTTGCACCCTAAACGTTAAACCCCAAAGTCTAAGCCCTTAAAAGCCCTTAACCCCTAAAGTTTGTAAGATGTTCAGAACGATGGCGCCCCACAGATTCAGGAAGCATGACATCCCAAAGCTGAGGCTTCGCCTCATGGGACATCATTCAACACCTTTTAAACTTGTGCACCCCTCGAACCAAAACGCAACTCCCACTGCGAGTAATCCTTGGAATGTCTTTCTATGAATGGACAATTCCGAAGACTACCAACGTAAGGAGCCTTAGAATCGACACTAACATCCAGATATAACTTACACTCGCATCACCTCTGCAACCTGCAGCCTAAACTCCCTACAGCAGCGACATGACATCAGGGGAGACAGCAACGGATAGCCAAAGACAAAATACCGTACGGCTGATGATATAAATCCTGCATTACCCATAATAAGGAATATACCATAACTCCTCAGTTTAGGGTCCTCAAGGTGATGCAGGATTTATATCATCAACAGTATCATCCACCTGCCCTGCTTCTGACGAAGACAAAAACTGTCGTTAACACTTAGGGTTACTAACTTAGGGGATTCTATGTTATGGCTACAGTACCACCGCCGCTAATTAGCATTGCTACCCCTACCACCAGCACAGCAACGACTGGCAAGAACAGCACTACCAACACTACACCTATCACTACTTACTTGTGATGTCACTACTTGGAGGCTCACGGGTAGTTATAAGTGGGGTTGTAATTAGGCTAACCATAATTATGACCCATATTAGGGGACTTATATCCCTACTTATAACGACCTACCAGCCTTCCTTGCCCAGCTATGAGGCAAGCTTCACTGCCATCCTTCTCGGACTTCTCGCCCTTGCGCTGTCGCAGCTCCGACATGGCAGCGGCCGAAGGAAAATGGGGACCGAAGCCCTGCTCTGAACCCTAAACCCTAAACCCTAAATCCTAAACCCTAACCCTAAACCCTAAATCCTAAACCCTAAACCCTAAACTCTCAACCCTAAACCCTAAACCTCTCAGTGAAGACCTAGCAAGGATCCGGGACCATCATGGGCGAGTCCGTGTCTTGGGTCATGTTAGTTTTCGAAACTGAACGGTACTGCGCGATCAAACCGAGATTGAAGTCGTGCAAAGTCTTGACACTTGACCGCCAAATCCTGCCAGACCCTATATAGGTACTTTAAGGCCTAAGTATCTACTATATGGGTACATGGAGCCTTACAAAAAAGTGAAGAACTGTAGGCGCGCTTCCGTGTGCAGCTTGCTCGTCGCCCATGGCTGGAATCTTTGAGCCCTAAGACCGCAGCAACCGCCAGTGTCTCAAAACACAATGACAGAGTTGTCCTTGAAGCCAATTGAAAATTATTTGCTATTATGGCTCTCTACAAAAATAGTAAGGGAAATTCAAAAGGATCCCAAAAAACATTCCGTTATCCCTGAACCCTAGGCCATATAAACTCTGAACCCTAAACCCTGAAGCCCAGCCTTCATAGAACCCTTGTAGAATCCCTTGCCCTAAAGCCCTAAAGCCCTAGACTTGAACTCTCAACCCCTAAATCCTTAAACTTTCAAGCACTACCTAAACCAAAAAACGCCTGAGGCCCTGAATCCAAATCCCTAACGCTCGAAAAAGCCTTCCGGTTCCGAACTGAAGCCTCAAAACCCGGACCCAAAAGACCCGTACACCAACCCCCCAAACCCCCAAACTCCCCCAAACTCCAACAACTCTGAAACCTAGAACTCTAAACCCGAAGCCCCCTCAACGCGAAACCCCAAGCCTTAAGGCTTCATCTCGGGTCCTTAATATTAGAGCCCCAGTCCTTAACCTTGATTTTAGAGCACCGGTCCTTCGTTTGAAATCCCAAACCCTAACTTGGGTTTAGGGTTTAGGGTTTAGGGTTTAGGGTTTGAACGTCAATTTTAGATTTACCCAACTGTAAGCCTTCAACAGCTGAGCCCCTTCTTGAACCGGGTTTAGGGTTTAGGGCTAATAGCACCCTGCAATAAACATGAAATCACAAGGGCGTGAAACATCCGAGCGACCGTACTTGGAGGTTCATGGGTAATTTTATAAGGGGGGTCATAAGTCCCCTAATACGGGTTATAATTATTGTTACCCTAATTATATTCCCACTTATAACTACCCATGAACCACCAAGTAAACCCTAAACCCTATACCGTTATAGAGTCCCTATAGATCCCTTTAAAGGAACCTTTATGACTACCCATGAACCTCCAAGTAGGCTCGAGCCAAACCTAAGTCAAAAAAACCTGAAAGCCGCCAACCAGACGGTTCGGGGTTAAGGGTTTGGGGCTTAGGGTTTCGGGTTTAGGGTTTGGGGTTTTGGGTGTGGGGTTTAAGGGTTAGGGCAGTGGGATTGGGGTTTAGGGTCAGGAGGTTGGGGCTAACACGAGCCCCATCAAAAACGCGTTCATGAAAGCCCTCATGGACACCCTTCTCACTGGCCCAAAACCCAAGGGAATGAACGTTGAAACTTTCAGAATCGACTACCTTATAAGAACCCCGAAAGTTGAAAAGTTGAGTTTACAGCCAATAAGCCTTAAATTCGAACTTGAAACTGAACAGCCCTTGTCAAGGCCAAAAGAGCCCGTATAAAGCCCTTAGTAGAAGCCTTTGCAAGGCCCCTAAAAAGACTGACCAAACACCGCATAAAGCCGCCAACACACGTTCACAAAACCCTCAACCGTGAACGCTATGATCGACTCTCTCCATAGGATCACCTGCGCCCAATAGATGTTCTTCAGGAGGTCACGCTGACTACCTTGTGTATTCCTGGTTCTTTTCAATTTAGGAGTTTTCCCAGGGGCTTACGTTTGTCAAGCATGAGTGGCTTTTTTTTATCAGATGCATGACTTTAGAAGGGGCTTTGTGAACTTTCGCTCAATGTCCTATGATCGTGTAACAGGGTTCATGCTATGAGGCTTTACGGGGAAGCTCCAACATCTAACCCTAAACCTTTCTCAAAAAAACTGAACCCGGAACCCTACTTCAAACCCCGAGCCCTAAACGTAGCTGACTCCTGAGCCCCTCCAAAAAGTTAAACTTTTAGCCTCCTTATTCTAGCTCATTTAGAAACCCAAAAAGCTAAAGTCCCAAGAGTCAACCAGAAAAACACCAAGTAAACATAAGCCCTCGACCATGCTTTAAAACCCTGAACCCTGAACTTTAAACCTGGCACGATTCACCTGACCCGCAAGCTCCTATACCTTAGAAGGGGCCCCCACCCTGTAATAGTGGTATAACAGGAATGTCATAGGGCCCTAATGTAATCCTTATAGTCACTATTACAGGGTGGGGGGCAACTTCTAACCTATACCTTAGACCCTAAACCCTGCTTCAAAACCCAACGCCTAAAACAAAGCCCCGAGGGCGAAATTGGGTTTGGGGTTTAGGGCGTAGGGCATTGGTCTGAGGTGTAGGTTTCGACGCGAAACCTCCGATGAAACCTCAAAAGCTCTGAGAGTTGGGGGTGTTGGCCTTCGGTGAAGTCTTGGCTTAGGGTGGGTTTAAGTTTATGTGAAATAGTTGGGTCGGAAAATGGAATAAGGCTTTCGGAAGGTGTTACACAACAAGCATAAATATGCACTGAATCTATACATATATATAGAGAGAGAGAGAGAGACGGACTAAGAGGCCAGACCCAAACTACTAATGCAGACATATTCGGAGAGATCAGAGCGCACAGCAGGACCAAGATCTCCGAGTCGGGGAATTTTTGGAATCCCGCTCCCAGCACTGAGGGTTAGGGTTTTGGGTTTAGGGACTCGGTGTCGCTGCAACAGTCCGCCAACTTATCTATTCATAATTAGAAGATATCCCAAATCGATACCTAGAGCAGCTCTTGCTGCAGAGCTTTCTCCTGTTGCGTCAACTCTAGCTGGGGCGCATCTCGACGGTGTATAACCCTCGACCCTAAACCCGAAACCCTAAACCCTAAACCCTCAACCCTAAACCCTAAACCCTCAACCCTAAACCCAAAATCCTGAACTCTAAGAGCCTGAGGCTCCTTCCCGCTGCCATTAACGTCGTGGGGGAGAATCGGCAGACTTTTAGGGTTTCGGGTATATAGGGTTTGGGTTTTAGGGTTAGGGGTTTAGGGTTTAGGTCTTGTCCGATGTGAAGGTAGTAAACTCTAAGAGCCTACCACCCTACAGCCTACCCTTCACACCCAACAACTTCAATCGTTAACACCCATGGCCCAAAGCCCACAATCTAACTAATCCTAAACCCTAAACAAGAAGCCCCGGGAACAGACTGCGATCTGAAACACCTGCAAGGAAGCAAAGGGGAAAAGGAGAGACCCTTAATGGGGACCCTACCATAAGGGGCGACATTGAGGGTTTAGGGTTTAGGGTTTAGGATATAATGGTATATAAGTGGTGTGTAATAGCTATATGAAGGGTATATACCTAGGGGTCCTTATTAAGGGTCCCTCCTTTTACCCTTGGAAGTATAAGCTTGATCCCTACTAGGGCTTAGGACTCAGGGCATAAACATATGCAAATCAAAACCCTAGACCATCCAAGGCCGCAAAATCCCCAAGCCTTAGCCACCCAAACCCCGCAAAACCCTAAACCCTAAACCCTAAACCCCTAACCCCTAAACCCCTGAACCCTAAACCCCTGACCCCTAAACCCCTAAACCCCTGAACCCTAAACCCCTAACCCCTAAACCCCTAAACCCCTGAACCCTAAACCCATACCCCTAAACCCCTAAACCAGGGAACCCCTAAACCCTAAAAACCCTAAACCCTAAAACCCCTAACCCCTGAAACCCTAAACCCTAAAACCCTAAACCCCTAAACCCTAAACCCTAAAACCCTAAAACCCTAAAACCCTAAAACCCTAAAACCCTAAACCCCTAGACCCTTTATAGATCCCTTCAAAGGAACTCTTATAGAACCCTTATGGATCCCTGTAAAGGGCCCTATAACCCTAAAAACCCGAAACCGCCGGGCCCCGAGCTCTGCGCAACCTCCCGCTGCAACCCTGGAGAAATGGTGTTGCGAAGCAGGCTCTCCTGTGGTGGCAGGGGGTTTAGGTTTCCTTTTAAGGGTACTAGAGGGTTCTATAATAAGGTTCCCTTTAAGGGTTTAGGGTTTCGGGTCTACTTAATGGATCATGGGACTTTGTAAGCTCTCCTGGTGTGGCTACGGGGGGTTTAGGGTTTAGGGTGTGGTGGCTAAGGGTCTCTACTTAAAGGATCATGGGACTTAGTAAGTAAGGTTACAAGTAGGTTCTAATTAGGATCACCCCACTTAGGGGAATTATAACCCCATGATCCTTCAAGTAAAGGTCTCTAGGTTTTGCAGGGACTTGGTAAGGGTTCTTAAAGGGCTCCTTAAAGGGATCTATAGGGATCCTTGAAGGGGTCTATGGGGTTTAGGGATTAGGGTCTTCTTGGAGGATCATGGGACTTAGTAAGTAAGGTTTTAAATACCTTAATTGGGGGTTATACATAGTTACCTCATTTATAACCCCAGATACTAAGTCCCATGACCCTTTAAGTAGGTACCCCAGTAGCCCCTTAATTGTAAAGACCTACCGATTGGTTTAAGGGAACCCAAACAGAGAAAATCTCAATATTCATTCAGGATCTTGGCTTCCGGGCTGGAGAGGTTTTGGCTGCATGGTTAGGGCTTGCCGAGATACCCGAAAGCCTACAAGGCAAACGAGAGCTTCAAAAAACAAGAAACCCTGACATGGCCCTAAAAGGACCGTGTGGTACTTAAAGGCTCATGGGACTTAGTAAGTAAGGTTACAAGTAGGTTATAATTAGGATAACCCCACTTAGGGGACTTATAAGCGCAAATAAAACCTACTTACTATAAGTCCCATGATCCTTTAAGTATGCCCTAGCGGCATGTGTTTTCGAGGAATGGATTTGGAAGGGTTTCAGGTAGTTCACATGCACCATCACGTCGACAGTCTGCTGCCCAGTGTGGAAGGGCCTTTAAATGTAAGGGCACCCATTAATGGACAACCCTAAACCCTAAACCCTGAACCCTTAAAACCTAAACCCTAAACCCTAAACCCTTAAACCCTAAACCCTAAACCCTTAAACCCTAAACCCTAAACCCTGAACCCTCAACCCTGAATCCTCGACCCTCCACCCTAAACCCCTAAACCCTGGAGCCCTGGAGCCCTGATCCCTTAACCCGTAACCCAAAGCCCTCTAAACCCAAAACCCCTAAACCCTAAAGCTTTTAATCCAAGGGTAAAAGGAGGGACCCTTCATAAGGACCCGTAGGTATATACCCTTAATATAGCCATTATATACCCATCATATAGCCCACTATAGGGTAGGGGTCCCCATCAAGGGTCCCTACTTTTCCCCTTTGATTTAACTGACCTCTAATGTTAAGGAACCCGAAGTCGCTCCAAGGATTAAAACCTCCAACGCCAGCCCTAAACCCTACATCCTCAATCCTAACCCTTAGAAACCTAAACCCTGAACCCTAAGGGGTTTAGGGTGTAGGGTTAATTATAGGGTTTAGGGTTTGGTGTTGCAGGGTTTTTTTTTTAAGTGGTTGCAGGGTTTGAGGTTCAGGGTTTAAGGGAAGCCCTCTTTCCTAATGCCTAGAAAACCCTCGATCCTAACCCTGAACCCAGACTCCTGTGTGGCTTGCTGCTGCGCCACGATGCATTCGTGCATGTATTTCCGCATGCGGACCTTGGGTTTCGGTAGTGTTCGTCGAACCAGTGGTTTTGGGGTTCCCTTGGCTCTTTAGCTCCTTACTCAATAGGGATTATCACCATCCCTGGCTCCTTAGCTCCTCCAATATCAAAGGTTAGTCATGCATTTAGGGTTTAGGGTATAAGTTTTGCCACAAGGCGTTACCTATACCGGGCAGAGACAAGGGCGTTACTAACTAGAATAGAGTCTTGGTGTGCTTTTTGAGCACAATAACACTTCGCTTCTATACTCGGTGTTCTGAAAGGGTTTTGCAGAGTTGGATAACCCTAAACCCTAACCCTAAACTCTCAAGTAACTGTGGCGGCACCATGCCCCGAAGTAAGGGAGTTGAGGTGAACCCATGGTCTGAAAAGGGTTTCGGGCTTAGGATGGCTTAGGGGCAGGGTTCAGGATTCAAGGCTTAGGGTTTGTGGTATAGTGCGTTCGGAAAGGGAACCGCCAGGAATGCTACTACGAATTGTTCAGGCCTCAGTAAAAGCAGATTCGAAATCCCATGGCGTCCTAAGCCTCCAGTAAAGGGGCTGAGGGGAAAAACGATACATTGCGGTGCTTCGAACTTCAAGTCACTTTCTTTAAGTGACGGACTGATTCCGGGGACTGATTGATGCACAGAATGCAGGGGACCTTAATGTTCCGAAAAAGGTTTTGGGCTACACCATACATTTTCGATTGGCAGTTGTTCAAGCTCCTCTAAAGCTGGACTTTCCTGCTGCACGCCTGCTTCCGTTTGCATGTGGCCTGCTGCACTACATCGCGGTGCAGTTGCTGCCTGCCCTAAACCCTAAACCCTAAACCGTAAACCCTAAACCGTAAACCCTAAACCCTAAACCCTAAACCGTACCCTAAACCGTAAAACCCTAAAAACCTTACGCAACTGTGAGTTGTGCAGCAAGACGTCTCTAACCAGTTGCACGAGTCGAGCCCTTGCCCTAGCAGCTTCGAGAAGCACCCGAAACCTTAAACCCAAATGCTGGAGCCGAACAGCCCAAGACCCTCCAACTTCAAACCCTCCTAAACCCTAAACCCCTTAACCCTAAACAAACCACAGGCTTCGATGCCGTTAGAAACAGCACGTGACTGCGCCATGTCTCAGAGGCTATGAACCTGAAAGCCGAGTATTCTTAGTACTTAAAGGATCATGGGACTTAGTAACTGGGGATATAAACAACGTAACTATACTTATAATTCCTTATAACCCCAATTAAGGTGCTTATAACCTTAATTACTAAGTCCCAAGATCCTCCAAGTAGTTCAAGGTGTAGAGTATATGGCTCAAACCCCTACGCTATAAACCCCGAACCAAAAAAAATCTGATGAGGACCCCTTTTTCCCAAACGCGAAAAAAAGGATCCTTACAAGCATGGGCGGTTTTGCCAGGTTCTCGTACACATACACGAAACCTTGGAACCCAAGCACGTCTAAGCCCTGCATTCCCTAAAATCTCGAGGGGGTTCAAGGGTTGGGCTTTGCGGCTTAGGCCACAGAGCCCGCGTTATAGCAAGTAAGTACGATAGCAACCCCTAAACCCTGAAGATACCTCAGATTGCACAGGGCCCCTTGTCACGGTTTCAAGAACCTTGCATTGTTTTGGGGCCAGGTATGAATCGGGCTCTCTGGATCAAACCCTACTTAAAGGTTGCTGGGACGCTTGTAATTGGTTTAAAAATAACGTAACTATACGTATAATTGCTTATATACTTATAACCTTACTTACTACGTCCCATGATCCTCCAAGTAGACCAAAACTTAATTTGTGAAATCTGAACTTAAGAACACAGAAACCCTAAAACCTTAGACCCCAAAACTCGAGACCTTCGCGCCTCAAAGCCCTAAAACCCCCGACCCTAAAATCCGAAATGCTGAACCCCTAAACCCCCAAACCCTAAACACCCAAACACCTAAGCCCCTAAACCCCTGAGACCGCAAAAACTCCCTTAAACATTTGAACCTTTTGCGGCCAAGCGTACTCTGAGACTGGGTTCCAGCCCCCGAGATTCCATCATGTCGTTCCTGGGCCGCGGGGAAGGGAGGTTTAGACATGCAGGGCCTGGGATGCTATAGAGACTGGAAGGACCTAACTATTATGCACCGACCTTCCAGGGGGCAGCGGTATCAACCGGTTTTGGTCTCAGGGTCATGTGGGCTGCCTCCATAGGCATGAATGGTGGCAGGCGTCCAATCCCTCCACGACAATGAACACGTCGGAGACCGGCAGGGGCCGTGGTAAGTCACTCTGCCTTGGACAGGAAGCAGAGTCTTCGAACATCTTCTGCTTCAGCATCAGCAGCAAGTGGGCGATCTTCTCGGGCCGGCCTTTGACCGTTGTCATGATCTCCGCGATGATGTTGCTGGCAAGGATTTCCACGCAGCTGTTAGTGTTCTAACCCGCATGGGCTCACCGATGCAATATGGATGCCCAGAGCCTCGGCTCAACACTCAAGCTCGCAAACACCCTAAACCCTAAACCCTAAACCGTAGCTACGGACGTAAACGCCTTATGAAACCCTCGGGTTGAAGGTGTGCTTCCTTACCGGCTTCGGGGTTCGCTTCAAGGACCGGGGATTTGGGGTTTCAGGATTCGGGACGAGGGGTTTAGGGTTTAGGGGTAGAATCTAGGGTTTTGGGATGAAGGTTTGAGGTTCGGGCCCTGGGGCTTTGAGTAGATGGCTGCTATCCATATGGGTGGCTGTCAAAATTAGGGTCCCGTTTTGGGTACCCTGAATATTAGGTGCGGTATTTTAAAAAAGGACCCAAAAAGGGACCCTAATTTTGACAACTACCCATATGGGTTTTGGGTTTTGGGCTTATGAGTAGATGATGGTAGAACTGCTATCCACAAGGTACTCATGTGGTTCTAACGTGTTGAAGAAGGCTTCCTCTAGTGGGCTACGACCAGGGTTGGGGGGGGCCGTTGTAGTTGAATAGGGTATCCTAAGCGTTTAGGCTGTTGGGTATCCTATCATGCAATGAGGAACCCTAAGGAAGAGTATTACTAATTTACTGACTGCTCCGACCCCTGCCCTACAAAGCCCAAGGAGGTCCTCCTAAAGCGTGCTACAGTATAGACCCTAAGGCTCCGAAAGGGGTCATAGGCTTTCTGGGGGAAGGGCTTGGGCTTTGGGGGCTAAGGTTTGGGATCTCACTTCGAGGGTCCAGGAGCCTTAGGGGAGTGCCCATAAAACGGTATACAAATCCTTACACAACCCCAACAGAATCCTCTACACAGATCGCACTCCGGAAACGTGTAGAGTTGAGGAGCTAAGCATCAGGGTTTCGGGCTGACTTAAAGGATCATGGGACTTAGTAACCGGTTTATAAACAAGGTAACTATATTTGTAAGTACTTATAACCCCAATGAAGGTACTTATTAATTATAACCTTACTTACTAAGTCCCATGATCCTCCCCTAATCCCCAAACCCCATAGACCCCTTTAAGGATCCCTATAGATCCCTTTAAGGAGCCCTTTAAGAACCCTTACCAAGTCCCCTGAGGGCTTCAGGCTTTGTGCCCCATGACGACCGATCTTAGCAACGATCTTCCGCCTCGCACGCCTGAGGAGGAAATGTCTCAATCTCTGCCGACCGCATGTCGGGGCCCAAATGATCCCATACTATTTTGGGGGTTCCTTTGTAGAATTATTAAACCCTAAACCGGCTCAGGGATAAACCCCCCCCCTCAAAAAAAAGGTCCCATGAACCTTAAACCCCAAATCCGGAAGCACCGCTAGACTTTGGAACACTAAAGCCTCGAAGGAACTCTTAACAGAACCCTTAGAGGAACCCCGAAAAGGAACCCATGAAAGCAACCCTGAAAGGAACCCTTACAGGACCTACGAAAGCAACCCCTAAGCCCCTAAACCCCTAAACCCTCAACCCTAAACCCAGAAACCGTAAACCCTAAACCCTAAACCCCTGAGCCCTAAACACTAGTGCAACCCTTAAAGGACCCTTCAAGCAACCGGTCAAGGACCCCAAACCTGAAACCCTCTGCCAGGCCGCAAATCATCCATGTTGCGCTTGAAAGCAGCCTAGAGAGGCTGAGGGTTTCGTAGATGATGATGGGGTTTAAGGCTCCGTTAAGGGATTCGGTAAAGGTTCCTCTAACGGGTTCTATAGGGCTTAGGGCTTTAGGATTTGGGGTTAAGGTTTTGAGGTTTTAGGGTTTAGGGGTTCGAGGATTGTCGCGCTTGCGCTGGCACTGGCGCTGCCGCAGGCGCTGGTTCTGGTGCCGGTGCTGGTGCTGGTGGTCGTGGTCGTGGCGGCGGCGGTGGTGGGTTTGGAACTCCGGCCCGCGATGATGGTGGTAGTGGTGATGGTGATGATGACGATGATGAAGATGACTCACGATGATAATGACACCGACGGTGACCGTGATGACGATGGCCATGACTACTACTGTGTCGGTGGTATTGCTGCTGACTCCTGCCGACGCCACCATCCAGCAGCTGCTGATGCTGGCTGATCATCTTCATGATGCTTTAGGTACTGCCCCCATACAGTGAGAGTCTATAATGGGGCTACCATTAATGTCCTATTATATCTATACTATGAATATGATTCAACTATTACTGATTGGGGGCCGTACCCAAATGATGCTCCTGCTAAGCTACAACCCTAGACAGCTCGCACCCAGGGCATCTGCCCTAAACCCTCAAAGCGACACCGAAAGACCCTAAACTTAAACCCCAACCTCGAAACCCGGACTCTAGAGCACCAAACACACAACTCGAACATAGCAGGCTCAACAATGAGCTCTCTTTTCGGACCGGGACTTACGGATAACTACCAATATTGCTCTTAAGGGCTCCTTTATTGTGATGATACTACACTATACCCAAAACCCTTTCCTAATTGTTGAAGCCGGCATATAGGTTGGCATAGTTGGGTTGCACATGCATCCATGAACGTATGGCGGAAACTACCGACTTCGTGGGATCCCTGTGGAGGGTTTTGGGGCATGTTCTCACTGGCCCAAAACCCAAGGGAATAATAGTTGAAACTTTCAAAATCGACTACCTTATAAGAACCCCAGAAGTTGAAAAGTTGAGTTTACAGCCAAAAAGTGTTATAGTATAGTTACGATAAGGACAGGGAGCCCTGGGAAGCATTCATGGTAGTTGTTCCGGCTTCTATATGGGAGTTTCCGAAAATAGGGGACCCTAATAAAGTACCCTAAATAGAAGGATCCTTATTATAAGGACCCCAAAATACGGTACCCCTAATTTTCGGAAACTCCCATACTAAACAATCATCACAACAGACCTTCTTGAGTTGTGCGACCCCCTGCAATACTCATCTGATCCATTCCTGGAATCCCTCTGAAATCCCAGACCATTCAGGCTGTATGGCTTCGGATGCTGTGCCAAACCGAATGAGAATCTACTACAGGGGCCTTAATAACAAGAATAGGGTTTTGGGGCACGTTATACTATCTTTTTTTCTAAGGAACCCCTCAAACTAGTATTGATGACTATTTGGGAGTTTCCGACAACAGGGGACCCTAATATGTTACCTTAAGCTGTAGGATCCTTATTATAAGAAACCCCCCAATCGGGTACCCCTAATTTTCGGAAACCCCCTTTTAGGCCCCCTATACGACATGAATCCTGAGACCTAAGCCCAAGTCCGCCCGCCCTCAACCCCACAGCTCCTTCCCTAAAACAATTTACCCCCCGACTTAAACGGATGGGACTTGTAACTACAATAGGGTTTAGGGTTTAGGACTTAGGCTTAGGATGTAGGGTTTAGGGTTTGGGGTTTAGGGTGGGTTTAGGGTTTAGGGTTTAAGGTTATTATGAAAAGAACTCCACATGTTTATGCGCAGATGAAGCCACTTACAACCAGACTTCCTAGGTCTCATGATCCTCCACGCAGCCCCACGCTCAAAACGCCAAGAAAGGGCTTGACCCCTAAACCCCAAACCTTGAACCCCCAAAAACCCCAAAACTCACGTCGCCGCATCCTACCATCATGGAAGGGTAGAGATAGAGAGAGAGAGAGACAGAGAGAGAGAGAGAGAGAGAGAGGGAGAGAGAGAGAGAGAGAGAGAGAAGCAAGCGCACACCCAGCAGGCATGACCTTTGCCTCGGTTGCGACTGATGCCCAGACACTCACCCACTTTCAACAAGTAGCGTGCTATCACACGCACAAGAAACTCACCTACCAAAAACCTCAGATCATCATGCAAGAGCTATGACTGCACCCATTGGTTCGAGGAACCCCGCAGTTCTGCAGAACACCGATGTAGTTGCAACATGCAGCTGCACATAGGATGAAAGGAGGGTCCCATGCCCACAGGACGAAATTAGTCCGGCCATGACACAAGTCGGCTGGCTTCAAACACTTAGCGGCTCATGGGACTTAGTAAGTAAGGTTATAAGGTAGGTTATAACTAGGATAACCCCACTTAGGGTACTTATAACCCCAACTATAACCTACTTACTAAGTCCCATGATCCTTGAAGTACTGTCTGCCAACCATCCACTGACTGTCCTGCTGCCCTTTCTTGGCCAAGGGCACCATTGTCCATTGTCCATGCCTGAAGGTGGCTTTGTAAACTGCTGAATAAGCATTATGGGACTTGACCCACGATGGCGGCTTGAAATAGCCCACCAACTCCTCAAGCTCGTCATCTTGAGGCTCGGGTCTTTGGCCAAAGCCTCCAAGGCCTCACTGATCTTCGGGAAATCATCTGGGGCACTTCGCTTCTTAGACGCCTGTCAGCATCATCTTTAAACCCTGAGCACTGGTGACGCCGGGCCCCACCACTTAGGGGTTCAAGGGATATCAAACAAACTCTGACTCTACTCATGGTAGCTTACTTAAAGGCTCATGGGACTTAGTAAGTAAGGTTATAAGTAGGTTATAATTAGGATATCCCCACTTAGGGGACTTATAACCCCAATTATAACCTACTTACTAAGTCCCGTGATCCTTTAAATAATGTCCCCAAGGAGAATTGCCTCGATGTTGGCTGGGTTACGTGCACAGTCCTGATGCAGGTACTTGGAGGCCCTTTTGACTTAGTAAGCAGGGTTAGTAAGGTGGGTTATGGGGTTTCTAATAGGGTTTCTAGGGGATACTAAGTAGACTTACTAAGTCAAAAGGGCCTCCAAGTATTCAAGCACCCTGAACCCAGAAGCACACGCCGCTACAGCCTAAACCCTAAGCCCCAGACTCTAAACCTAACTACACAGCCTAAACCCTAAACTCTAAACCCTCAACGTAACTCTGCCGGGCAGCATTGGAGTCCATGTTGTGTATCAAGGAGACCACGGAACCTTTACTTGGAGGGGCAGGGGACTTAGTAAGTAGGTTATAAGTAGAGTTCTAAGTACCCTAAGTGGAGTTACCCCAACTAGAACCCTACTTACAACCTTACTTACTAAGTCCCCGGCCCCTCCAAGTAGACCCTAAACCCTACACCCCATAGATCCCTTAAAGGATCCCTATAGATCCCTTTAAAGAGCCCTTTAAGAACCCTTACTAAGTCCCCTGCCCCAAAGTAGGGCTTAGGCGGGGCGAAGGCTGAAAGTCGCAGCTGGGCTGGATGAAGGGACGTGGGGTTCTAGGAGTCTAGGGCTTATCGTTTAGGGTTTATCGTTTAGGGTTTAGGGTTTAGGGTTTAGGGTTTGGGGTTCTAGGAGTCTAGGGCTTATCGTTTTAGCGACTACTTGGAGGCCCTTATGACTTAGTAAGTAGGGTTAGTAAGGTGGGTTATGGGGTTTCTAATAGGGTTTCTAGGGGATACTAAGTAGACTTACTAAGTCAAAAGGGCCTCCAAGTAGGCTGGCCCTTTAACGCCTCTAATAAATCTTCGTAAACAAGGTCCTCCGTTAAAATATCCCAACGGCCTACCTAGGCGAGGCATACGCCTCAACGTCGAAGGATCTGCTTTCACCCTAAAACCTACTTGGAGGATCATGGGACTTAGTAAGTAAGGTTACAAGTACCTTAATTGGGGTTAGTAATTATAAGTGTAGCTACCTTGTCTATATCCCCAGTTACTAAGTCCCATGATCCTCTAAGCAAGCCCTAAGCCCTCAACCCTAAAACCTTGAGGTCCTGCAGTTCAGGAATTTCTGGTTTCGGGGTGCCCCGAAGCAGCAAGCTGCCGTCAACTCTCAAACCTTTATCAATACTATACCCGAGGGCTTTGGGGCTTTAGGGTTGCAGGTTTACTTGGAGGCCCTTTTGACTTAGTAAGTAGGGTTAGTAAGGTGGGTTATGGGGTTTCTAATAGGGTTTCTAGGGGATACGTCAAAAGGGCCTCCAAGCAGGGGTGTTTAGGTTCAGCGTTTAGGGCTCAGGGGCTTCGGGTCTAGGATTGACGGGAGCGAACGCCATCATCGGCAAGCACCACATCCCGATGGGCAAGGGCACGATGAGCCGGACGACGCGGACGACCGACATCGCCGGAATCGACGACAGGACGTCGACCATGCGGAAGAAGTCCTCGGAGCTCCTCCTCATGACAATGAGAGCAGGGCTCCTTAAAGGGTTTCTTAAGGGGTTCTATAAGGGATCTATAGTGTTCTATACTATAGGGGCCATATTACTGTCGGAACCCCCGGGAGCTCCTGCGCCAAGCTATCTGCAAATGTGGAAATCGAGTTGTGAAGGGTCACGGCTCCTGATCGGGCTTGGATGCTGCGCATACTTAAAGGCTCATGGGACTGAGTAAGTAAGGTTATAAGTAGGTTATAGTTTATAATTAGGATAACGCCACCTAGGGGACTTACAACCCAAATTATAACCTACTTACTAAGTCCCATGATCCTTCAAGTGCTCATTACTGCTTCTTGCTGAGCCAAGCACCCGGGTTGATGCCCCAAGGCATGGTTACCTCACGTACAGGGGGCGCAAGGCCTGAGGGCTGCTTGATGTTGGCGGATTCAGACGGGTCTTCTGCCCACACTTGGAGGCCCTTTTGACTTAGTAAGTAGGGTTAGTAAGGTGGGTTATGGGGTTTCTAATAGGGTTTCTAGGGGATACTAAGTAGACTTACTAAGTCAAAAGGGCCTCCAAGCAGCCCAATTCAGAGAATCAACAAGCCCCGTCCCAGACCCTGTGGCACGAACCCTTCTTGCTCAGATGGCGACACATCATCTGGGTCCGCAGGTGCTTCCACTCCCTCCCCATCGGAAGTGACGACCTCACCCTCAGGACGTGGTTCTTCCATCGCGGTTTGTTGCTCCGCCTCGTCACCAGAAGAAATTTCCGAGCGACCCAGCGACTGACCACGACCCCTGCACCTCGTAGCAAAAACTCCAAGGGCTATATGAACCTTCTAAGCCTGCAGCACTAAGGAGCCTTGTATGAAGTAGGATTGTTTCGCGAACTCACCTGAAACCCGAACCCTAAACCCCTAAACCCCTAAATCCCTAAACCCCTAAATCCCTAAACCCCTAAACCCCTAAACCCCTAAACCCCTAAACCCCTAAACCCCTAACCCCTAAACCCTCAACCCCTAAACCCTAAACCCTAAACCCTAAACCGCTCCGCCTTAGCAGCTCTGAAGCCGGAATGTGCTGAGATGGCTCAGGCGGGTACCGACAATGTACGCCCAGACGAAGCCAGAGACCAGCATTGTGACGGTGCACACCTCAGGGCCCCTAAACTGTATGGCGGTTTAGGGTCTAATTAGGGTGTTAAGTTATCACACTTGTTAAGGGGTTTGTAGTAGAAGCCATGCCCTTAAGGTGAAGTATAAGGGGTCTTGGCACTAATCCTCTTAAATCCATGTTCCAACTTTCTGGCTTCTGCCAAAGGGCATTAACAAGGCACATAAGAAGTGTATCGGGCTTGTAGCAATCGATGCCAAGCCCATCAGCGGCGAGCTGGGAGACAACTGAAGACCGTATGTAGATTGTCATATTGAGCATTTGGTACTTACGGCCCCCAACCCTACTAAAATTATTAAGGCTTCTGTACTACGACGTATCTCGTGTGCCATACAACAAAGAAAACCCAACCCTTACTTGGGAGGACCATGTGACTTTGTAAGTAGGGCGAGAAGTACCTCAAATGGGGGCTATAAACAGTTCTTAGTATGGTTACCCTAATTACCATTAGTTACTAAGTCCCGTGATCCTTCAGGTACTTTAACTATTTAAGGTCCTATGCTAGGCCGAGTTGGAGCCTCAGGTGTTTGACATAGAGTGATTCCTCAATTTCTGGGCTTTAAGGTTTAGGGTTAAGGACTTAGGGCTCAGGGGCTCTATTTCTAGGCTTTAGGGTTTAGGGCTTAGGGTTCAGGGGTTTTTAATAAATGATGTCTTGCCTGATTGTACACTCCCTGCTGTGCCAGTGCTTGCCGAAACAGCAACAATACATTGGGGCTGAGAGTTTAAACTCTAAAACCTGAAATTCCGGTAGAACCAAAGTTTAGGGCTTAGGGGTCAAAAGTTGGAAGCCCAATAGCCTCAATCCTTAGGAGTAATGTACAAAGAATCCCAGCACTATTTGGCCTTAAACCTGTTTCCAACTTTATAGGGTTTACCCTGGGCCCTAAACCCTAAATCGGGAACCGGGTTTACTGTGGGACCCTGTATTCGAGCCCATAGATCCCTCTTCTGCCTGTTTGGGTCACTCTGAAGTGCCCCTTCGAGCGCTTTGGGGCTGGGCCTTTACGAAGAAGTATTACAAAAAGCAAATCATATACCTAGGTCCCATGCTCTACACCCAAACTAAACCCTAAACCCGAAACCCTAAACCCTCAACCCTAGACCCTAAGCCAGACCCGAAACCGTATGCCAAACCTTTGGAGAATCGCCATCTCTGCGCAGTCCAAGCAGCGAGGTACTCGGCTGTGTTCTGGGGTGTCACCTGAGAAGTCTCTAACAGTCCCGGCAATATGAGTTATAATTAGGGCTCTATATTAAACAAGAAGGGAAAATTGAACAGGAACATATCCCAAGTCGATACCTGGGTCTTACTTGCCACCAAGTACAGGGGAATGCTGAGCCAGACATGTCTTCAATCCCTAAAGTTTCCGCGTCAAACTTGAAAAGTTGGCCTGAATAACTAGACTCACAAGACTGGCGTTCGATGGGGAGTCTGATAATTACAGGGATACCTTCGGGTCTATAGGGTGCTCGACTACTGGCAACCCAGTGTTTATTCAAGCCCCTGTCTTGAGATTTTGGCTCTACACAACGCTGAGGCTTCGAAGATCAGAAGTACGGTTAATGATATAAGTCCTGCGTTACCCACAATAAGGAATATACCATCATTCCCATAGTCTGGGGTCTTGGACGTAATGCAACATTTAGATTCTGGACCCTATATTTGGGTCCATGGTAACTTACAACCGAAGCGTATCACACTGTACAGGTAGTGCAGATGATCGTAGGCCTCAAGCCTCTGACCCAACACAAGCGCTACAGCATTGACTTCACATCCTCGGACACCGACCTTTGTGATTCAGCATTGTTTTGTGGCATATTCTGGCATACTTCACCAGTACTAACTCTTCAAATCGCTCACCGACTTCGCTCAAAAGGCCGCAAGCCCAAAAGAACCTGAACATCATGCTCCAGGCCGCGAAGCTTAACCCTGGTGCAAATCACAAAAGCACCTCTGAACCGTCATTAGAATAGAGCTTGCGGGTAAGGAGGGGGCTCCAGTAGAACTATAAAGGTAGAACCTATATCGCAACAAGTAGTAAACATTACTGTGTGAGACCCCGCTGGTTAGCACCGACATGTGGGAGCAGTCAAAATCTCGGCTTCCCCACATCACCATAGCCAACCTCGGCATTGTGAAATCTAGGGGCCACCATGGGGGTGCATGGGGGTTTCAGTTCTCTAGCGGGTTGTTTTGCCCTAAACCCTAAACTCCTAAATCCTTACACCCCTAAACCCTAAACCCCTAAACCCTAAATGCTAAACCCTAAACTCTCCTTCTACAGGTGATTGTTCGGCGATGTACAGCATTGAAAAGACTTGCTAATGTAGGAACCTGACTAAGAAACCTTGGGCCTTTATGAGGGTCCCTTATATGAATCCTACTATTTTGGGGTTATAGGCCCATTTTCTCTGAATCAGGCGCCTACATTACACGGCTGTATGTTTATGGAGAGCTACAGGGTTCTCCAGCAATTTTACGAGGGACTTAAGGGGGACACAGCAACCTATACAGGGGCCTGAATAGCTGGACTAGGGCTCTGAATGGCCTTATGCTACAAGCATAACTTGTTTCTGGGTTTGTAATGGCCCCCTGGATTACTTAACGGATCATGGGATGTAGGAAGTATGGCGACAAAGCAAGGCAACTCTAGATATACTAGGTTACCCAGTAACCACAGAATAAAAAGGCCTCTCCTTTTGGTATTGGGTAACTTTATAAGGAACCTAGGACTACAAAAAGGGAATAAGGGTACTACTGGAGATCCTAGTATATCTGTTCGCCATCCCAGCGCTCGAACCTGGAACTCTACTCCCCTTCGAAAGTAAGCAACAGCCAGGATATAACTGTGGAGATACCAATAAAGGAAGCCACAAACCGGCAAAGCAACAAACTAAAAGACAGCAATTTAGAAGCCTGAATAATTATCAAGACTATTCCTTTGGGCTCCTGATTACATTTATACTGTAAGGCACCCGGAAGCTTCTCATAATCATTGAGGCCCCTGTAGTACCCTAATCCCCTACCCTTCAATACCCTAAAGCGTAAACCCTAAACCCCAAACCCTGAAACCGAAATCCTATATTATATGCTAAAGTGACGGAGCCTGGCAGCATGGACTTCAGCCTCAACACTAGGGAGACGGGCAGTGGCAAGCACACGTCCGGCTCCAAGATGAAGGGAAGACTCTCTGTCAAAAGTGGGCCGGAGCATCTCACGCGCCATGGCAAGAAGCGGTCCCCGAAGTTGTTCAAGCTCCTTTAAATTCTGCATATGTCCAAGTGCCAGCTCCAAAATAGAGCGTGGAAGAGACCAATGATTGGAAAAGGAGCGCCTTTTCCCGATGGGTAACAATGGGCGAGGCGAACACAGCCCTGCGGTGATTTCGGAAGGCTTGCCAGGCCTGGCCAACCGGGCCTTAAGACAGGGCCTGGTTTGCGGCGGCGGAGACTCTCGGGCTCTGTGGGGTCTTCTAGGCTTCATGTTGAGGGTTTAGGTTTACAGGGATGAGGCTTGACGGCTTTCGGGTTTTAGGGTAAAGGGTTTAGGTTTACGGTTTAGGGATGAAGCTGGAGGGTTTAGGGTTTCAAAAAGCACCAGAAGGATTGGTAATACTGCTCTTCCCGTGCACAGTGACTACCACGTGTTCAGGACGTACGGCATAAGCTTTTGAGGATTCTGTCCCGCTTGGAAGGCAAGCGAAGGTTCTGGGGAGGTGAAACCATGACAGAAAGAGACGAACCCCTAAACGGTTTCCCCCAACCCCTGGAACGTAAAAGCAACGCAGCCCGAGAGAATTTTTGCTACTTGCAGGCTCAGGGGACTTAGCAAGTTAGGTTATAAGTAAGTTATAAGTCGGATAACCCCACTTAGGGGACTTATATCCCCAACTATAACCTACTTTACTGAGTCCCATGATCCTTTAAGTAGGGTCTCTACCATGGCTAACCGGCTAACACGACGGCCCCGATAGGTGTTTAGGTATAGAGTTCAAGGGTTCAGGGTTGAGGGTTTAGGGTTTAGGGTTTGGTACACTCCTACCGGCACTGCTAAGGTACTTTGGCAGCAGGTTTCGGACTTTGGAACACGTACGCCTTCAAGTTCAAGCTTAATTCAGGAAATCTGGAGTCTCCGAAGCCTGAACCCCCTAAACCCTAAACCCTAAACCCTAAACCCTAAACCATAGACCCTGAGCCAGGAAGCCGTTGTCAGCGTCATGGTGGCCCAATAGAGCGCCATGAAGTAGACACAGTTAGGATCCTGGCAGGGCTTCGTTGGGGCGTTCACGGTTCAGGGCTTAGGGTTTGGGTTCGACCGGGTTTCATCATCTCTTCATATACTTGCTATGTAACAGGGCTCTGTAAGGGTTTAGGGCTGAAAAACAGGGGCCAGGGTTACGAGAATAACCTTTTCGGGCAAATGATGAGATAACCGTCCAAGGACTTCGAGGAAGGATGATCACCGATTATTCAGACCTCTCTAAACACGTGCCGGCTGAGGGTTCAGAGTCTGGGATCTGGGGTTTAGTGTACAAACCCTAAACCCTAAACCCTAAACCCCTAAACCCCTAAACCCTAAACCCTAAACCAGGGGTTTTCAGGTGCCACTGCCGTTGAGGCTCCTATCGTACTCTGTGAAGACATCGAAACACCCAAGGGCCTCCATCCTGCGCCTTCGCGTTTTGACACGAAAGCAGAAAGACTGAAATAGGCTTAAGATTTACTATCCATTCATTTACTGATCCAAAAAAGTCGATAAACAGTTTCATGATAATTGTTATTTAAGAGAGAACTTCGAGAGAACTACGCTAGGTGGTTCTCAGTCTTCGGTCCGCCCAGCTTTTCAACTCATCTCTGCCAAGGCTGGTGCAAGGTTTATGGTTTAGGGGGCCTCAAACCACAAGTGCCTCAGGATGCACATACCAGAGTCCCTGCGGCGGTCGCTAGTGCACGTTTGAGCTGATGAAGCTCGCCGGGCTTTAAATTTATGTTCGTAGTTTAACAACTGCGTGACCTTGATCCAATTTATCTTGGCTGCTACTTCATACTTCGCACTAGTGATTATGCTCTGGTTTCTTTGCAAGGAGCAAAATTTCGTCGTGGGTAACGCTATAGCTGCATTGACCAAAACCGGGGTAGTTCTATGCCTGTAGATGTTTCGCTCCAAACTCTCAGCCCCAAACCCTGAAATCTGACTTACTATGTCCAGCAAGAACCTAGACTAGCGCACCCGAGCGATGGTAGGGCCAATGGACATTGACAGTCCAGGCAGCTTCTCCTTGAAGGCTTGCTCGAAGAAGGGCAAGCCTCTGCTCTGAAAGTGTTTGTGGCTCACTTCCTTGGAGTGGCCGTCGATCAGGATGTGGTTGTTCGTGCAGGCTCTGTCAGTATGTTGAATGCCTCCGCCAAGACGGTTCTCACTGCCTTCTTCTTCAAACCCAAGGCGGCTGCAGCAAAACTGCCTTCGAAAACTGCAATGTGGCACACAGGCAAAGGTAAGACACCCCCAAACTCACATCACCGCATCCCACCGTCATGGAAGGGTAGAGAGAGAGAAATACACGGAGAGACACAGGGAGAAAGAGAGAGAGGGAGAGAGAGAGAGACAGAGAGACAGAGAGACAGAGAGACAGAGAGACAGAGAGACAGAGAGACAGAGAGACAGAGAGGCAGAGAGACAGAGAGACAGAGAGACAGAGAGACAGAGAGACAGAGAGACAGAGAGACAGAGAGACAGAGGACGCGAAAGAGAGAATTTGATGAGACCCTCAACCCTAAATCCTGAACCCTAAACCCCTTAACACCCTAAAACCAACTCCTACACCCTAAACTCCCTAAACCCCTCAGCAACTCATCCTAAACCCTAAACCCCTTATATAACACCCTAAAACCAACTCTTACACCCTAAACCCCTCAGCAACTTATCCTAAACCCTAAACCCCTTAACACCCTAAAACCAACTCCTAGGCCCCTAAACCCCTCAGCAACTTCTCAGTGCCTCAGCCCTAGTCTCGAACACCGACGGCCCTACAAACCCAAACCCGCCAAGCTCCAACCCAAAAATCCCTGAACCCCTAGCAAAGCCCTAAAGACCCGATCCCACACAACTCTTATTGAATATTTAGGGTTTAGGGTTTAGGGTTTAGGGGTTTAGGGTTTAGGGTTTAGGGTTTAGGGAACCCTTATCATATAGCGGCCTCAACAAGTGGAAAAGGGCTTCGGGCTGTATTGTAGCATACTTGAGTGTAACAATAAGAGGCCCTGAGGGATACTATTACTACTCCTTCAGGCTTTTATATTGGAGCCGTGACACAGGCCCTACTTGGGTTTAGGGTTTAGGGTTAGGGCTTAGGGTCTAGGGTTTAACGGAACATGCGACTTATTGTTCATTGCAATATGACCCCCAGTTCAGGTACTTAAAACCTTGCTTGCTAAGTTAAAGATCCTTTAAGTAGACCCACACCCTAAGCCGTAAACCCTGTAGACCCCTTAGAGGAACATTTACAGGAACCCCACACCCTAATTAAACCAAAACAGCCTGAGAGAAGCCTTATAAACCTCGCCAGGTACAAACTCTGCGCGCTCTCTCTGCGGTTTCCTTGGCGGCACTGGGCCGGCAGGGATCGCCCTGCGACAAGCAGTTTAGGGTTTAAGGTTTAGGAGTTTAGGGTTTAAGGTTTAGGGTTTAGGGTTTTAGGGTTTAGGATTAAGAGGTTTAGGATGGTTTAAGGCTTAGGATTAAGAGGTTTAGGATGGTTTAAGGCTTAGGATTAAGAGGTTTAGGATGGTTAGGGTTTAGGGTTTAAGGTTTGGGATTAAGAGGTTTAGGATGGTTTAAGGTTTAGGGGTCTAGGGTCTAGGGGTTTGAGGGATTTACAGGCTTCTCCCTAGGTGATAGCGTGCCTTACACAAGATCTGAGGGATCATCGAAGTTCAAATCGGATTAAGTCTCATGAAACCCTATAGAGCATAGACAAAAAAACCTACACGCCGCAAGCCTGCAAAGCTCTGAGCCCTAAGCCCAAAAGCCAAGCCCTGAAAGAACGGCATCAAGCTGCGCACATGCCGATATATACATATGCCGTTATTGAAAAGAACAATACCTTCACAAACTTTGCAAAATCACAACACCTTCAATACTTCCTGAAAACCCTAAACCCTAACCCCTCGAAGTCCTTAAACCCAAACCCTACTTGGAGGGGCAGGGGACTTAGTAAGTAGGTTATAAGTAGAGTTATACATACCCGAAATGGAGTTACCCCAATTATAACCCCACTTATAACCGACTTACTAAGTCCCCTGCCCCTCCAAGTAAACCTTAAATCCTCAGCTCTACAGCTTCAATACCTCCAAGCCACCAAGTTTCAAAAAACAACACCTTCAACCCAAACACTCTCAACCCTTAAGCCCCAAGTCCATTAACTTGGCCGCTGAGTTCATAAGCCGAAAAAGTTGCAAACTTTCAGTTCCATAGCGAAGGATATGTTCCCCACATAAAGCCCTGAACTCTAAGCCGCGCTAAACCCTAAACCCAAAGCCAACCCTACCCCCCCCCCCCGGACAACCCCAAAGCCCAAGAACCCCCGATCCCCCCCAAAGCCCAAACCTGCACAGATCCCTACGGCTGTTGATATACATCCTGCATTACCCATAATAAGGGATATAGCCATAATTCCCATACTTTAGGGTCCTTAAGGTAATGCAGGATTTACATCATCAACAGTAGGGTCTAGGGTCTATGGTTTAGGGTTTATGGTCGAGGGTTTAGCGCTGAGGGATCGAAGCTCCTAAGCCCTACAGAAAACCCCAGAAAGTTGGAAACCGGACTAAAGCCAAACAGTGCTGGGATGCCCTATACACTTCAGGATTGAGGTTATTGGGCATCCAACTTTTGGGCTTCTACTGTAAAGAGTCCCCTAGGTTCCTGAGTGACCCCTAAATAATGAGGGTACCGTTGTTCCTACTATTCGGTTTCAAGAAGAGGACCCTAAAGCAAAAACGGCAAAAGGGTACTACTCAGGAACCTAGTAGACCCTAAACCTCCATGGATCCCTTATGCGAACCTCTTTAAGGATCCCTTTTAAGTAGCCTTTTAAAAAGGGCGTTACTCAGATTGTAAAGAGTCCCCGAAACCTCCCAAGTTTAATCCCTAAACCCCATAAACCCCATAAACCCTACCATGAAGCTCTCCACAAGCCCGAATTCTCCTGCAAGAACCATTTCAGGTGCCCATTAAGGAACCTATAGATCCCTCATGGAGCCCTTGAAGGAACCTATATATATCCCTTTTCGGGCCCTTTAAGGAGCCCTTGAAGGAACCTTTAGATGCCTTATAGAGCCCTTGAAGGAACCTAGAGATCCCTTATAGAGCCCTTTAAGGAGGCTCCTTGAAGGAACCTACTTAGAGGCTCATGGGACTTAGTAAGTAAGGCTATAAGTAGGTTATAATTAGGATAACCCCACTTAGGGGACTTATAACCCCAATTATAACCTACTTACTAAGTCCCTTTTTCCTTTAAGTATAGATCCTAAGTAGGGAATGGGGGAATGAATCCCTATAGTGGCCCCCTATATAATCCCCAATGATAGTCTCCATAACCCATTCCCTCATTCCCTACTAAGAACCAGATCCTTTAAGTATCCTAAACTACCCCTTCTAGAACCCCTATATAGATCCCTTGAAGGAGCCCTTTAAAGGAACCTACTTACTAAGTCCCATTTTCCTTTAAGTATAGATCCTAAAGAGTCCCTTGAAGGAGGGAACCTATAGATCCCTTATAGAGCCCGTTAAGGAGCCCTTGAAGGAGCCCTTGAAGGAACCTATAGATCCTAAACAGTCCCCGACATCTCCCCCAGGTTTACAAAGGCGGCCTTCGCCTCGATCAGAGCCGAAAGCCTCGATAGGGAAGAGGGGCTGTAAATGTTTAGGGTTTAAGGGTTTGGGGGTTTAGGGTTTAAGGATTTAAGGTTTAGGGTTTATAGGGGTTTAGGGGTTTAGGGTTTAAGGGTTTAGGGGTTTAGGGGTTTTAGGGTTTAGGGTTTAGGGTTTAGGGGTTTAAGGGTTTTAGGGTTAAGGGTTTTAGGGTTTAAGGGTGTTAGGGTTTAGGGTTTAGCGATTGAAGGGTTCCTTGAGGCCTCCCTAAAGGGGTTCTATAAGGGATGTATGGGTCTTAGGGCTTAAGGTCTAAAAGGGATGTATTTGTTTTAGGGCCTAGGGTCTACATGTCTACTTGGAGGATTATGGGACTTGGTAAATAAGGGTTTCAAGCTTTTGTTGTGTGCGTCGAATTAGGGGATTTGGGAGTTGAGGGATTTAGGAGTTTAGGGATTTGAGGGTTTTAGGGATTTAGGGCAGTTAGGGGTTCAGGGGTTTTAAGGATTCAGGGCATTTAGGGGTTTATGAATTTAGGGGCGTGGGGATTTCGCGCTTGCGGTTTCGTTTCAGGGTTTGGGGGTTTGGGTTTTAGGGTGCCAGGCCCTCCAATAGCCCTTGATTCAGGAAATATTTTGAGTTCTGGTGAAAATAGCCGGATCCCTAATATGGCTGAAAGTATTGTTCTCAATTAAGGGATTTTTGAAATTTTGTGAGTAAACAAAGCAAGAAATTGCTGTTGCAAGGCGAGGAGCCAGCTGCTACCACTGTCGATGTGGTAGCTGAGGTCCCCGTTCCTGAGAAGCTGGCGCAAGGTTACTTGTCCAACTCACGTCTTTGGGTACTGGGCCTACCCTCGACCCTAAACCCTACCTTGACGCTAAGAAGTCTACCTTTTTAGGTCCCTAATATGATTTTCTGATATACGTTCTTAAGAACGCAAGGTTTTTCGGTGTTAATGTACGACCTAAGCCCTAGGCCCTACACCGTGTCATGACCGCTGTTGGAGCTAGGACCTCGGTAGCGAACATTGAAATGTGCGACATGGAGAAAGCCCCAAGCCCCTGAATTAGGGTATGCGGGGTTTAGGGTTTAGTTTGGGGGTTTGGGCTTGTAGCGGTTTAGGGTTGAGAGTCTCTGAGCCCTAAACCCCAAACCGTATCCTCCAATACTGCAGAGACCCAGTGGACTACTGCAGAGCGAGGCTTACGCAGAGATGAAATGAAGAAACAGTCCTTAAAATGCGTATGGCTTCCTACTTCGAACTAAGAATCTTCTAAATCCCAAAACCCAAACCCTAATTCCCTACTGTAAGCCTTAAGGGCGTTTAGGGTGGGTTTAGGGTTCCTTTCAGGAGATTCCTTTTGAGGTGTTCCTTTAAGGGAAGCCCCAAAGCCTAAACCGGGCTCTTGGATTTTTCGGATGAGCGGCGTGACGGTGCCTTCGATCCCGATCCAGAGGCAGGCGAACCTGGGAGCAATGATGCAGTAGGGTTGAGGGCAAGGGCTTCCGGTTCAGGGTTTAGGGTTCGGAGTTTAGGGTTTCGAGTTGCGGCCTGGTTGTCAAGCTGCATGCCCTGAACTTACACGGAACCCTAAACCCAAGATCCTAAAACCTTGAACCCTAAACCGTACACCCAAAACCTGAAATTCCTGGACCCTAAACCCAAGTTTAAGGTTTCAAGTTGCTTAGGGTTTAGGGATTGGGGGAACATGCTTCGTGGCTGTTCCTTAGTAAAAGGGCTTTCGTTCGGGATCTGTCCCTTGGAGTTTGCTATAACAAGAATACAGCATAGTTCCCAAGAATACTAAGGAAACTCTAAACCCTAAACCCTCTTGTCGAAACACTTCGTGACTCTCAAGCCCCATATCCCAAGATCGGACCTCTCCCATGAGACCGACACCATCCTGAACAGGACGTGAGCGGCTGAAAGCAACGCCGAACTAATATTGTTTTTTGCTTCCGCTGTTTCGGTGCCTGGCTCTGCTAAAACCAAAGACACGGGTCTGGCCTCCTGATCGGAAGGGTTTCGATTTACCCTTGCTGAAGGTGTGCTAGGGCTGGCTGTGCCCGCCGGCTTTTTACACACCAGCCTTCGCCCCAGCCAGACGCGGTCATGGCAGCACAGTGAGAAACTGTTACCTGTCCTAACTGCCATTTGGCTATTCATCCAATTTCAATAGAGCGATAAGAGCGGAGTGTTGCTGTAACGTCCACAGGACTCGGTGGCCCAGGACTGCATCAATGCACATGAGGGCACTCCAAAGGGAGAAGGTTGTGGAGGCGCTGGCACACCCCAGGATGCTAAGGGAACTGCGCCGAGATCGTGTGGTCGGAATGGCAGCACTGTGGGCCGCCAACAACCCATCCTGATCATCCAGTTGTGCCGCAATGGATGAGCAGAATGCCTTGCCCATCAGGGCCGCTTCGCTGTGCAGCTCACCGGGCGGTTGACAGCGGGGAAGTTTTCGGGTTCAGGGTTCAGGGTTTAGGGTCTAGGGTTCAGGGTTCAGGGAGGGTTCAGGGTTTAGGGTCTGCGGGGTTTAAGTAGGATTGAGGGCTCGGGGTCTTGGGTTCAGGGTTCGGCGGCAGATGCTACATACATGGGATGCGTCACACAATTGGACTAGACGGAAGGAACACTTGCGACTCGACTAACGCCTAAGCCCCAGACCCCAAATCGCGACCCCTCAACTCTAAACTCTAAACCCGCCAAACTCCAGTCTCTTATCCCCAAGACATTCCGCAAAAGCATTTAGGCGTTCGGTGTTCGGTGTATGTTCTAACTTAGGGTTAGTATTAGCAAGTAGGATTATTATAACGGAGGCAACTATTCTTGCACTTTCTCATCATAGCCCCCAATAAAGGTTCTTATAACTTCATTTCTTAAGGCTCATGATCCTCCAAGTAGGGTTTTGGGGTATGGACCTGAGGTTTTCGAATTGCAAGAGCTTCAAGGTTGTAAGCTTAGACTCCTAAACCCGGACCCTAAATCCGTAAACCCAAAAACCGTCAATCCGTAAGTCCAAAAATCCCTAAACCCTAAACCTAAACCCTAAGCCTTAACCCTATAAACCCTAGAACCCTTATAAACCCTAAACCCTTAACCCTAAACCCTAAACCTAAACACTGAACTAAACCCTAAACCTAAACCCTAAACTAAACCCTAAACCTAAACCCTAAACCCTAAACCTAAACCCTAAAATGAACCCTCAAGTCGGAGCCTTAGAGCTTCGAAAAAACTGTTGGGGTAGCCCAGACCCCTGAAAAGATTTCCAAAAAGCAGATCCTTTAAGGGCTCCTTTAAGGGCTCTTTTAAGGTTTCCTTTAAGGGGGCGCCTTTAAGGGTTCCTTTAAGGGTTCCTTTAAGGGCTCCTTTCAGGGTTCCTCCAAGGGTTCCTTGAATGGCTCCTTTTGCTCCTTTTAAGCTTTTAAGAGTTCCCTTAAGGGAGCTTTAAGGGGGTTCCTATACAGTGACCCTTAGTCGTAAAGGGTCCCAGATTCTGGGATCCACTTTTCGGATCCTTCCGGGGGTCTGGGAGAGGGAGTACACTGGAATCATGTAGCCAACTATTCACGGGCTTTTTGCTTGGAGTCGAGGCTCCGGCTTTGGGATTGACCTCCCTAAGACTCCAATATGCCTCAATTGAGGAATATACCTTAAATTCTAGTAGGATCCCTTATATGATTTAAGGAATATTCCTTAATTAGGGGATATTGGAGTCTCTGGCCTTGTAGCAACCAAGGCGCCAATGGGCGCACAAGGTCGTGATGATGATGAACTTCAGCATGTCGATCAGGTAGTACGAGAACCTCTGAAACATGAACTACCGGAAATGGGACTTGGGCTTCGGGTTTGGGGTTTAGGGATTAGGGGTTTAGGGTTTAGGGGCTTGGGGTTTAGGGTTTAGGGGTTTAGGGGTTTAGGGGCTTAGGGTGCAGCGCTCACGGTTTCAGGCAAAGCAAAGTGGGCGAGGCTTTCGGTTTAAGGGCTTCAGGTATCAAAAAATGCTTCGAAGATCCTACGATCTGGAGTCCATATATGGATTCCTAAACCCTAAAACCCAAACCCCCATGCCCCAACCAAGTCTGTAGTTCAGCCATTTTTTCTGAAGGCAAGCATGAGCTTTGAGAAACAGCGGGCACGCCGTTAGAAAGTCTTGACCTGGCCCTGCCTGAGGAAGCTTGTCAAAGTGGGACTCAGGTTTAGGATTCTTTTAGGGTTTAGGGTTTAAGGTTTTTTGCTTCATAGAAGGATAGCGGCTTGTGTCATGGTAATTTTGCAGCTCGTCCTGAACAACAACCCAGCCAGGAGCGTCAGCAACCTTCTACATGTACAGTAGCCGCTTGATCTATGCCTCCATACACAACTGGACATGCAATGTTCCCTTTCACACCGCATGTGTTCAGGTCTCCACTCAACTCATCATGCCAGTACACAGGAGCCAACTGTTGTCCGGGAAGGCATTTCCAGACACGGTACACCTCATCATCCAACTTGATGTAGAGCTCTTCCCGCTGTTTCACCATCAGGAACGCATCCGACACATCAAACGATCTCAGGATCCAGCCTGGAGTAATGACGAACAAAAGTGGGAGAAGACGAAGCATGGAAGGACATGTCGAAGGTGCATAAGTATCCTGCCGAAATGGACTCCAAGCTTTCAGCTGCTTGCACACCAACCGCGCACGGCGCGGCCAGTGTTGCTTTCTGAACCGCCAGTCGTAGACATACCGGCAGGAACAACAAGGTCCCGTTTTGGTATTGGACAGCTTTGTAAGGAACCTAGTCAAGAGAGGATGGGAGACCATATGACGCTAACGGAATACTTAGGATCTGGGGTTTGGGCCCAGTGCACTGGAGGCGCCTGTTTATGCCTCGGGTTGGGTGCCTTCGTTCAGTCAGCTTCCTGGCATTCCAAGGCACGCATATCTTCTTCCTGACTGAACGAAGGCTCGTCATTCGTACGACAACACATTGGGCGCAAAAAGAAGCTTGCCTCCTTTTAGTTGCTGCGCTCATAAGCCCAAAACAAGGTAAACGTTTAGTTCTGTAGGGGATGGTATTCTGCCAAAAAGTGTACAGAGTACTCGTTCAGCTACGAAGTTTTGGTGCAAGAACTGCCAGGGCCGACAGTGGGCTGCTTGACCCTAAACCAAGAAGCCCCAAAGCTCTCAAGTCCTAAACCCTCACTTTGAGGTTCATGGGACAAGTACTGTAATACGTCCTTAAACGGGCTGAACACTTTAGAAGTGACCCTGGTTAGTTGCTAAAATCTTGAAAAACCCGTGAAACTGCTAAACCCTACGCCCGAGATGGCCGTGAAGCATGAACCGTTTACTACAATCTGAACCGCTACTTGGAGGGGCAGGGGACTTGGTAAGTCGTTTATACGTAGGGTCATAGTTGGGGTAACTCCTTTTAGGGTACGTATAACTCTACTTAAAACCTACTTACTAAGCCCCCTGCCCCTCCAAGTAGGGCCTCAAAAACTTCGAAACCCTGTCACCCGTCAAAAACCCTAACCTCCCAGAACAAAAACTTCCTGATCCTTGCTTGAATAGCTCAAACCCTGAGCTCTAAGAGGCAAACCTCATAATGTAGGGGCCATGATATTTGGAATAGGGTTCCTTTAAAAAGGGGTCTATAAGCGATCTATAATAGAGTCGTATAATGTAGGGGCCTTAATAATTGGAATAGGGTCTTGGGGGTTCCTTCTTTGAACTAAGTATAATAAGGAGCCCCCTAAACCCCATTCTAGTGATTAAGGCCCCTACGTTGATTTAGTTGCTGAGTTCATAAGCCCCAAAAAGCGTACACTTTCAGTTTCATAGTGGGTAATATTATCCAAAGAAGTGTAAAGTGTATCCACTCAGCTACTAAGTTGAAACCCTTTCAGACCCCTAAACCCGAATCCCTAAACCCTAAACCCTAAACCCCAAACCCCTAAACCCTAAACCCTAAACCCAAACCCTAAACCCCAAACCCTTGAATCCCCTTCAGAGGCCCCGGGCCCAACTTTCGCGTGCCATCGGCTCATGAAACGACCCAGGCGGGGGAGGTTCACCATCCTCGCGCTTGCGGAGCGGGTTTAGGGTTTAGGGTTCTGGGTTTAGGGTTTTGGCTTTAGGGTTTAGAGTTTAGGGTTAAGGGTTTAAAGTTTACGGTTAAGGGTGTAGGGTTTAGAGTTGAGGGTTTAGGGTTTAGGGTTTAGGGTTTAGGGTGTAGGGTCTAATTCTATTGGTGCTGCTGGCTTTATTGGATACATTGCACTGTGCTAAGGTTTATAGGCTTTGCTTAGGGCCCTGGATTGCACAAGATTGCAGTTTTGTGGACTTGGGGTGATTTGGGTGCGGGTTGTGTTGAGTTGGGCTTGGAGTCAACTACATATGAGCTGTACTACATACAGTCCTGGTATCAGGATTGTGTTTAGAGTCTAGAGCATGTCATGTAACAGCAACCAGCCCATCCAACAACGACAACAACAACAACAGCAAACTAATAGACCCCCCGACCTTTGTTCGAGACGCCATGCAGCTGTACCACGAAAAGCACAGAGCACTCGATACATCTGCTGCAGCCGCAACAACACAGAAGCCCTAAATCCCATCTAATCCTAAACCCCAAACCCTAAGCCCTGCACTCTGACCCTCAAAGCCCTAAACCCTAAACCCCACGGACTCTGGATGCATAGCTCCATACGAACTAAATTCTATAACCAAGGGCCATCATAGGGACCTGAATATATTCAACAACGAGGCTTGCGGTGTGGTTTAGTATAGTATAGTAGTATAGTAGTATAGTAGGTATGGCTTGGTATCATACAGTTTTGACAGTACAGTACAGTATAGTATAGCACAGTACATCCTATAGTATGGTATAGCATAGTCATGTCGGAGATGTATCGGAAAACTGCTTCTACTTATTTACAAGCCCCTGCCCACAGCAAATCCGAAAACCCAGCGTAACCCCCACCCTACACCCCAAACCCCAAAAAACCTACAACCCTGAACTGCCCTACCTTACATCCTAAGCTCTCCAAAAATCGAGGTCCTACAACTCTAAACTGCCCTCCCTTACATCCTAAGCCCTCAAACAACAGAGGTCCTAAACCCTAAACCCTAAACTGCCCTCCCTTACATCCTAAGCCCTCAAACAATCGAGCTCCTGAAGAACTTCAACCCTCGAGCCGAAATCCTGTCAACCCTGAAACCGGAACCCTCTTTCAAACTTAAAAAACCTAGTAGTAGTAGTAGTAGTAGTAGTAGTAGTAGTAGTAGTAGTAGTAGTAGTAGTAGTAGTAGTAGTAGTAGTAGTAGTAGTAGTAGTAGTAGTAGTAGTAGTAGTAGTAGTAGTAGTAGTAGTAGTAGTAGTAGTAGTAGTAGTAGTAGTAGTAGTAGTAGTAGTAGTAGTAGTAGTAGTAGTAGTAGTAGTAGTAGTAGTAGTAGTAGTAGTAGTAGTAGTAGTAGTAGTAGTAGTAGTAGTAGTAGTAGTAGTAGTAGTAGTAGTAGTAGTAGTAGTAGTAGTAGTAGTAGTAGTAGTAGTAGTAGTAGCAGTAGTAGTAGCAGTAGTAGTAGTAGTAGTAGTAGTAGTAGTAGTAGTAGTAGTAGTAGTAGTAGTAGTAGTAATAGTAGTAATAGTAGTAAAAGTAGTAAAAGTAGTAATAGTAGTAATAGTACTTGTCTTTCAAACTTAAGGTTCCATAAGGGGTCTAAAGAGCTCCATACTATAGGGGCCTTATTCATTAGAACGGAGCTTTTGGGGCACTTTATACTATACTTCTACCTACTTGTCGGGTATCATGGGGAACTAAAGGTCGACCTTTTTGATTATGTAGGGGTTATATAGGGGTTATACTACACCAAAAAGGCTAAAGGCTACCTACTCTACTACTAGGAAAACAAGACCTAGCCCTGCAGAAGCAACAGCGACGCGGAGGAAGGTTTTTGAAAGCCCCTAAACTCTAAGCCCTGAAATGCACTTCGCAGCTGAGGGGGCCTGAAGATCTTGACGGATCGCATCACACCTTCCGGCGCTTGATCATTTCTACTTAAAGGATCATTGTCATGGGACTTCGTAACTAAGGTTACGGAAATTGGGTACCCCGAAACCCTAAACCCTAGACCCTGAATCCACAACCCTAGTATTTTATATTTACTTAGAAGCCCAATAAAGGGAGCACTTCTAGGCCTCGGGTCTTCGACTCCTGGGCTTTACGGTTGGGGGGTTTAAGGTTTACGAGGTTCGGATTTCGTTTAAGTGTTTCGGGTTCGGTTTAGGGTATATAATTTTAGTGTATAAGGGTTTAGGGTTTAGGGTCCGGTTTAGGGTCTATCAATACCTGTAAAGGGGTTTAGGGTTTAGGGTTCGGTTTGGAGTTTTTCAATAGCTATAAATAGGTGTAGGGTTCGGTTTACGGTATCTCAATAGACTTTAAAAGGCAACCCCAAAAAATAGCACTACTAACGATTTAGGCGCCTATCGTACAGCGAAAGGTCTTTCCTGCCGGTTCTTAGTAAGACTGCTTGGGAGTCCTGGCCGGGTCGCTATGATGAGACGTGACTCAACACATGAATCAGGGTTTTGAGGTATATTCTGCTACAATTGCAAACCACCAGGTTCCATCCCACGCAACAGCCTTAGAAAGCCTAAACCCCAACGCGGGGGGCTTGCAAACGTCCCGAGTGTCGAAGTACTTCGAGGGCTGCTGCTCCCAGTCATTGCCCGAAACTGCATGACCATCGCGGTGGCTTAGGGTTTAGGGCTTAGAGTTTGTGGTTGGGGTTCAAGGTTTGCTGTGCAGGAGATAGTATCTTTGCGACAAGGCTGTTGAGTGCATCGTACTACGGCGATGCCTGTCCATACAGAGCTTTTCCTTCTTCTCTCCCACCCCACGCCGTTATAAGGCGGCCAAACCACCCAAACCTGTTCCTTTGAGTGTTTAGGCCTAAACTCGTGCAAGAACCAAGTTTCTTCCTTCAAGACAGGGCACGGCAGGGCAGAACAGTGGAGAAAAACAAGAAACAAAGAAACACAAACAAACGGTGGCAGAAGGGACTCATAATCCCAATACCCTTACCCTTATTGATCACTTAAACGAACCTCCGAAAAAGATATAAAAAATTGTACTACTGGGTGACCTAGCACAAAAGAAACCGGAAATGTTAGCTAAACCCCATTAACCCTTGCACCCCCACCCCTAAACCCCCTAAACCCGAAAACTCAAACCCCTAAGCCCTAAACCCCCGTATCTGAAACCCTGAACCCTGTCTGAAACCTTAAAGGAACCCTTATAGATCCCTTAAACGATCCCTTCAAGATCAAGACATCCAAAACCCGAAACCCGACACCCTCGGAACCCTTCAAAGGATCCCTTTAAGGAGCCCTAAACCCTTAAAATCCTGAGCCCTCAAGGGCTTCAGGGCCTGAAGCCCTACAATCCTAAAAACCCAAGAAGACCTGGCATCTGGGTTCTTGCTAAGGAACTTAATTTAAGTTACCATAATAAGGAAACCCTATTATTTACGATAGATCCCTATTATGGTAACTTGAATTAAGTTCCTTAACAAGAACCCAGGCATTCCCAGGCTGCGTGGCCTAAGATCTGCCACTGGTCGAAGCTCTTGTGTCCCTCACAAGGCGCTGTACTTGGGACTTAGTAACTTTAATGGGTTCCTTAAGGGGCCCATTAAAAGGGATCCATAAGGTGTATATGTATATATATATATATAGAGAGAGAGAGAGAGAGCTTCAGGGTTTAAGGCTTCAGACTAAAGGCTTAGGGCTGCAGGGTTTAGGGCTCAAAGCTGAAAGCTACGAGTTTAGGGCTTCAAGTCTGTACTTGGAGGATCATGGGGCGTAGTGACTTAAAGAGTTCCCTAGAGCTCTATTTAAGGGATCTACAAGGGTTCTACAGAAGGCTTTTAAGGTCTACTTGGAGGATCGTGGGACTATCCCGGGGGCCGCTATACTTACTTATACTTATTCAAAAAGCATTTACAGCCAAGCCGCCTAGAGTGAGCTATATAAGTTACGGACCTCGAAAGGCTGCGCAATATGGCTTCAGGTACTATCCTTAGTCAAGGGGTTTTGGAGTCTCTGGGCTTCTACGTGGAGAGTCATGGGGCTCAGCGAGTACGGCTGTTGGTGCCTTCACTGGGATTCAAAATAACTACAAGTACTTGGAGGGGCAGGGGACTTAGAAAGTAGGATATAAGTAAAGTTATAAGTACCATAAAGATACCTACCCCAATTATAACCCTACTTATAAGCGACTTACTATACCCAGAGGCTCCATATATAGTCTCCTTATGGAATTAAGTCCCAAAAGAGCATCCAAATCATGGCTTTGGGGACCGAATTCCATAATGCTACTATATATGGAGCCTCTAGGATAGTTACCCTAACCCTGGTTACTCGGTCCCATGATCCTTCAAGTAGGACTATATGATGCGGTGTGCCAAGGGCAGTCATGGCGACAGCAGAACTCGAAAGCCTGCTTTCTTCGGCCTTTTCCTAACCCTAAACCCGAAACCCCAAACCCTAACTCTAAATCCTAAACCCCAAACCCGAACTATCAACCCTAAACCCCAAACCCTAACCCTAAACCCTAAACCCTAGCTTATCTCAAGTAACCAGGCCAGGGAGTCCAGAATCCCTTGACTCAGGAACGTTCAACTCAGACTCACGATCCTCCTACTAGAGGGGAAATTATGATCAGAAGAGGATTTGGTGTGTAACTATTCTAGACTATTTGAGAATTTGGGGTGAAAGTATTCTAGAACATTTTTTAAAAATGTAGATACTTAGGCCCTGCATTTGTGCTGTAAACGTATCTTCCTACGTATATCTTGGAGTCCCTGGGCATTGCACCTCAGATCATTTGATGCCAGTACTGGTATAGGACAGTTTAAGGTTCAAGGGTATTTTAGAGTCTAGTGTGGTTTAGGGGCTGGGGGATTGTAGGATTTATGGTTTAGGGGCTGGAGGATTGTAGGATTTATGGTTTAGGGGCTGGGGGATTGTAGGATTTAGGGTTTAGGGGCTGGGGGATTGTAGGATTTAGGGTTTAGGGGCTGGGGGATTGTAGGATTTAGGGTTTAGAAGCTGGGGGATTGTAGCTGTTTTAGGGTTTAGGGAGACCTCTACTCAATACCACCCCAGCTCCGAGATTTGGGGTTTAGGGTTTTAAAAAACCTTGGTGTAGGGTTTAAGGTTAAAGTTCAAAAGGGTCCCAGTTGGGTCAAGAGGGTCCAGGATTCAGGGTTTCTGGTTAAGCGGGGTCATCCTACACCACACCACCCAAACCCTGAAAAACGCCACTACAAGGCGCCTATTCGTTTAAAAGCCGTAAGCGTCCCTTGGAAGACCCGAAACCCCAAGCCCTAAGCCCTAAACCCTGAAGACCCTAACCACCCCCCCTCAAAAAAAAAAAAAAACACGAGCCCCGCGCCGTGATCACCCGGAGCCAGAAGGGTAGGATGCTGGCCAAGTCTAACCAAAACCTGTAGGGCTTAGGGTAAATGGGTTTATATGGGGGTTTAGGGTTTCGCGATTTGGGGCTTAGGGCTGTGGGGCACATATAGGGTTCTAAATATGGGGTACATACAAGGTCAAAAATACAGGATTCATGACAAGGCTTATATCGGGTGCAAGGGCTTACGGCCCCAGGGCTGTTATTGCTGAAACGGATGGTCCCGGGTCGACCCAGAAATTCCAATATCCCTTCATCAAGGAATATACCTTGAGTTGTAGTAGGCTCCCTTATATGATTTAAGGAATATTCCTTAATTCAGGGATATTGGAGTCTCGGGTAGGTAAGGGTTTAGGGCTTAGGGTTTGGAGTTGACGGGTTCGGATCTCGGAGCTATGAACCTTACACCCCTCCGCGTTCAGGGCTTAGGGCTGAGGGCTTAGGGTTTGGGGCTTAGGGTTGAGGGTTGAGGGTTGAGGGTTAGGATTTGGGGTTCGGGGGGGTTGGAGTTTGGGGGCTTACGGTTGGAAATTTGGGGTTTGAGGTTTCGGGTTTGGGGTTTAGGGTCCCTCAGGTGTAACATCAACGTGTGCATTTTGAAGACCATTGCAGTGGTAACTCAAAAAGGCGAACCACTTGGAAGACACCCAAGCGCCGTACTGTAACCAAGGGGTTCCCGTAAACAACACGCCTACACCCTAAACCCTAAACCCTCAAACAGGTCGGGGATGTAACGGTCTGGGTTTTAGGCTTTACTTGTAGATTACGCAGAGGTTTATTGGTTCTGCTCACCTGTAGTGCAGCCGACTGGTGGCAGTGCCGGACCCTCATATTGGGTTTGGATGGGCTTGGGGTTTCTAAAGCCCGAAGCACTAAGAAGACTCTAAGCCTTGAGACATAAATGTTGAGTTTCGGGTTAGGTTTTGGTTTGGGCCGTTTTGGGCTTTAGGTTTAGGGCCCAGGTTCTGATTACTAGGTTAGGGCCACAGTTTTTTTGCTGGTGTAAGTGTGTAGGTTATTCTGATGGTGCTGGGTGGGGTGTAGGTCTGAGATTTAGGTTCACGGATTCATACTGCTTCAAGTAGTGTAATTTAGGCACCAGCATCAAGCTCAACAGCTGCGTACCAACAGATTTGCTTTCAATTCTCCCTCCCAAGAAAACTTCAATGGAAGTAAACACGTGGACAGTGACACCAATGGTCCTGGTCAGATCTGGGCGCTCGGAGAATTGCCCAGAGGTGAACTGTCGGTCTGCGACCCGGAGGTGGCCAGACAAGAAGTGCATGAGACTCCGCCCTAAACCCTAAACCCTAAACCCTAATTGGCAAGGACAAGATCCCCGCTCCTTCTGGAGTCAACCCGAAGTTCGTGGAGCCAGTTTGAGCGTTTTTGCAGCCGAAGTCCGAGGCCCTCTGGCCTGGTCCAGTGAGGGGATAGGTGTGGAGCCAAGGAACTCTCGAACGAACTCTGAAGCAGAAAACTTGTATAACCACACACCCTAGAGCCTAAATCCCTAACACCCAAACCCCCTAGCCCTTGTAGACCCCCTTTAACGGAATGCAGAAACCCTCTAAAATTCTGTAAAACCGGGAACCAAAACCGGACTGACAACTCCAAAGCCTATACGACCTTCTAAGCTCTAAGCGAAGAGCGAAGACAAATACTAACGGAACTATATACCTTAATGAAACTCTTTAACATAAAGATCCCAAACCTAAACCCTAACCCCTTTAGGGTTTAAACCTGGAAGAGCGCAAGCCTAGACATCAACCCGAGGCTACCAGAACAGATACGGTAAGGGCAAAACCAACCCCTCAACCCTAATCTGAAACGAACCCGAGGCTCACAGAACTGCGTGCTACAAATGAGCCCCTTCAAGGAACCCGGGCTCCATTTAAGGATTCCTTTCAAGGGTTCCTTTCAAGGATTCCATTTAAGGATTCCTTTTAAGGGCTCCCATTTAAGGAGTCCTCTTAAGGATTCCTCTTGAGGCTTCCTTTTAAGGATTCCTCTTTAAGGCTTCCACTTTTAAGGACCCCTGAAAAGAGAGAGCCCTTTTTAAAGCTCGAGCGCCGAGGCGCCATCCGAAGGTGTCGCCGAAGCCGAGGTAGGCTTTCGCGATGGTGCACGGGTTTCGCTGCCAGGGCCCGCGAGACCTTCGGGTTGGGTTTAGGGGGTTTTAGGGTTTAGGGTTGAGGGGTTTGGGGTTTTGGGGTTTAGGGTTTCGGGGTTTGGGGTTTAGTGGTTTAGGGTTTTTTTTGGGGTTTAGGGGGTTGGGGCTTAAGTTTAAGGGTTGGGGTTTGGGGAGCGTTGAAGGTTTAGGGTTTAGGGGGTTAGGGTTTAGGGGTTTGGGGTGTATGGCTTGGGGCTCAGTTCAAGTTCAGGTAGGGTTTAGGGTTTAGGGTTTAGGGCTTGCGTTGGGGTTTGTCGGTTAGGGACAGGGTCAGGATTTGGGATTGCTTTAAGGGTTCGTTTAAGAAAGAGTGGTTCAAGGGGATTTTTGCTAACGATTAGGGAGTTCGTGGTGTAGGCTTTTGGGTTTGGGATCGGGGGTCTCGGTTTTACGGGTTCAAAGCTCGGGAGCATCAGGGGGCGTGGCAACTCGGATTGGAGCAAAAATCCATCCATTCCTGGCGGGGTGGCCTTACTTTACACTTCCAAATATTCCATGTAATGTAGGAACCTGATTAAGAAACCCTGGCCCTTTAACCCCAAATATATTAGGATCCATATTGAGAACTTCGAGAACCCGAATAAGGGCCCAAGGTTCCTTAATCAGGTTCCTACATTGGACACATATCTATGGATCCGACAGGGGCTCCCTAATCCCGAAAAAGCACTAAATCACCATTCGCCCCGAACATCTAAACCCTAGGCCCTGGCCCTTAACCCCTAAACCAAAAGCCGTCGCCAGGAACCTCTTTCGGGCTGCCTTGAAGAACCTTGCAAAAACCATACAACCCCCCCACCGTAAGTAGAACCCTGGTAGCACCCTTAGTGAATCACAACACCCGAAACACTAAACGCTCAGCCCCATACCCTAAAATCCACGGCACAACTACGCCTCAAGCCCTCAACCGCAAATCCTAAACCCTGAAACATACGCACCCTCATCGGAACCCGTAAAGGAACATCTGCCTCCTCGGCATTGAGTCCCGGACAAATCGCTCTGAGGATTGGCGTAAGCGATGAAGAACTGCAGCAAAATGTCCTTGGTTCAGAGCATTAAGGATTTTGGCAAGTAGGGTTTAAAGTTTAGGGTTGGTCATGCGGGGTCTTTGGCATCTCTACGTCCAAGCCCTTTGAAGGGCCCTTGTTGTAAGAGTGCGGTCTTGGTAGCTACAGCCGTAAACTCGAAACCCCAAAGCCCTGTTTGGAATTCGTGAGTTTTAGGGTTGAGGGTTGGGCTCAGGACCTTCAACACAGCAAACCAAATCTCTATCAAAGGGGCCACAGATGGCCTGAGTAGATATAACTACAATATCAGTGTTCTTGGGAGGGGGGCTTGTATTACACCATAACCAGGATCTCATAATCACGAACACTAGAAGCCTAGTGCTGCAAGATGTCAGTTTCCCTATCTACCCAGACAGCTTGAGGCAACAAGTATTCCAGGACTCTCGTCGTCGAGACACCTTGGCGGCCTTGTACTTGATCTTTTCCCCGCCCTTCAGGGAAGTGAAGTCGCCATGGAAGCTTGAGCAATGCCTCGGAGGGATTGTGCCCGGTCTCGGCGACCGTTGTGGACTGTCAGCACGACAACGCGTCCCTGTTGCCCCCAGTAGGGTCGCAAGTTTCCAACCACTGATCCTGTTCTTCTTTGCTTTTCGTCAATCTTCTTGACGATCTGTCTGCTGCCAAGGGCAAGCGGGGTACCCCAACACCCTGAGACGAACCCTAAAATCCTTGAACACGCTACAATCCCAAAACCCCTAACCCATAGAACCCAAAACCTTGAGACTAAACGCTAACCCCCTGAACCTCGAAAATCCATGGCTGATACGCATTCAGCCTTGTGTTCGCTCTGAAGCTACCAAAGCCCGTGAATACGAAAGCCCGCAACCTGGGAAAATGGAACAAAGAGCTTCTGGCATATAGAATAGTATCGCCGGTTACTATTCAAGCTTCTTTCTGATGGAGGTCTGAATAACTGGTCAGAATTTCCCGCCGAGTTCTTGCACACCTAAACTACTAACGACTATATACCCCTAACTCAAACCCCCCAAGGTCCCGTCCGCAAAAGCCAAGTCCCAAATCAACCCTAAACCCCCTAATTACTTGTCTTAGCGCCCCAAAAGCTCTCAAAACCCCCAGAACCACAGTTCAACTTTCAACATGACATTCCTGTGTGAATCCTACACATGCCCTGTTAAAACGCGATACTTAAAGGTTCATGGGACTGAGTAAGTAGGTTATAATTGGGGTTATAAGTCCCCTAAGTGGGGTTATCTTCATTATAACCTACTTATAACCTTACTGACCAAGTCCCATGAGCCTTTAAGTAAAACCTGTTCTAAGCATTCAAGCGCCCCCTAAACCCTAAACCCGAAACCCTAAACCCGAAAACCCAAACCCTAAACCCTAAACCCCAAACCCTAAACCCGGAACCCCAAACCCTCAATCCTAAACCCTAAACCCCTACACCCCCAAAGCCCTACACCCCTAAAACCCCAAACCCTAATAACACTGGAAGCCCATGGCTCGAGGCCGTGCCGTCAAAGTCGCTAGACTGAATGTCAGGTTTGCCAGGAAGGATATCGTCCTGCGTTTAGGGGCTTAGGGGCTTCGGGTTTTAGGGGTATAGGGTTTAGGGGCTTAGGGGTTTTGTGTTTAGGGGCTTAGGGGTTTGGGGGTTGCTTTCGGGTTTATAGAGGGGCCTTAATGAATAGAATAGGGTTTCGACCTCCTTCATGGTATAGTTATAGTAAGGACCCCTGATGGCATGGCAACAAATTATAATCACAGACGGGTACGCCGGGGTGATACAGACATGGTATGTGGAATGTTGAATAGCTCAAACATTACAAAATACGAGTATATATAACGTGGCACAGAAAAACATGATATAATATAATATAACATAGTATAAGCTGAAAACGGTGGATTGGGGTTGAGTAGCTGTGGGGTTTACTTGAAGGTGACTTGTGAGCTTGTGACAGTTCGGCTACCGGCACAGCAACAGCTCACTTCAGTTTAAGTGTTTCCAGACAGAAGGCTTTTGGATTTCGTGTCTGTGCTTCCTGCAATGTATGAGGCAGGTTGAAGGCAATGTGATCGGCCTGCTCTACGGCGTCTTGGAGCAGTTGTCACCGCAGCTGCAGTGGGTGGTGGACTCTAAATAAGAAGAAAGGTCTCTCAACGCTTGGTCTTGTCTTTAAGCTCGTGTGTTTCCTGTCCCCCTGTGTACAGTATAAACCCTGAACACTAAACCCTAGACCCTAAACCCTAAATTGAAAGCTTTCAACATAGGTCATGTCAGACAAATGGTTGCAGTCGCTTGCCGTGTATCTGTCGTTATCTTACCAGGCTAGCAACCTACTAGCGGCCTGCGGATGATCATACATATCCTATCCAAGTAAGTGCTTGTATGTGTGTGTATCTACACTAAAAGAACCGGTGGATGTATATCTATATGTACATGTACCCGCGCGTACGCCCTAAGCCAGGAACCAGCAAGCCTAAATCATGCATCCTAAGCCCTACGGGCTTCTCATCGGAGTTAACAGCTCAGCTGTCGAAGAAGTCACTGAACGTCACTGGCACCATAGCTGCTAGGCTGGTGCGGTCATCCTCCGACATGTGATCCGGGAGCCAGCCGTTATCCAGGTCGATATGCGTGAAGAGGCCGCCGGCTTCCATAATATCAGCCTTGTCGTTGCTGATATGATCCTGCGACAAGGTCTGTGGCTGCTGTCATTTTTGGATTACTTCATTAAAGACTTGACCTATTGCAGGGTCTCCGGACCACAAAATCCAAACATGTTGACGTCTTGTAAGCTGGGTCTCACACAAACGTTTTGAGGCACGGAAGTCGCAGCACTCAAACAGGGCATAGAACCATGAAGCAAGAAGCAGTTAAGGAAACAGCAAAAGAAGCATTCCCGCCACCCACAACGGTAATGACATGTAATGACATTGGAGCCGCTAATGTTCACACCAACACCACCATCGTCTGGCTACCTGCCTGCACAGCCACAATTAGCAGCAGCAGTGGCAGTAGCAAAAGTAGTAGCCAGTGCAATTGCGGTGGCAGCGCGGCAGTAGTAGGAGTAGTAGATGACTTGTGCTGGGGTGTTCATTCTTCGGACGAGATATCACGGTGACCCCTGCCTCTGGGATCAGGTCCAGATGCTCAAGTAGCCAAGCCCTGACCTCCGATGCAAAGTGCACGTCCTTGACCTGGTCTGTGGCGGCCAAGCAGTTCCAAGGGACCTGTTGATGAGCTGGTGCGCCGGGGTTCCGGCGCACCCAGCTGGCATGCACAGCATGCGCTGTCGCGTAATCAGTCATTCCCTCAAGCATGCACAGGATTGCAGTTTCGACCCCATCTTGCGAGATCTGGACGAAGAAGGCCGGCTGGTCCTCCGCATTGTCGAATGACATCAGGTCGACAGCGTCATCATCGTTTTCGGCAGCATTCGTCCAGGCTCCGTGACGGAAAACCTTGGGTTTTGTAAAAATGCCCTGTTGGCGATTTTCTGCTTTCCACAATAGGAATTGGGCTTGAACACACTCCTTGGTGCAAGTCTCCAACCACTGAAGGGACATGGTGGAAGACGTGGTGGAGCACCGTATGCCGCCTGTGAGCCGAGAATATGCTACTGCAAACCGCACTCAGTGGCGAAATGCCGCAAGTCCCACAAAGCATCCATGTAGCTTGCGGCCCTCGTCCCTTCATCTCTCCATCCACCCAAGACTGCCATCTTTAGCCACTGGGCCGACTTCAACGCCTGAGGCAGCGGTCCCAAAAGAATTATTTTGCAGCATCACAGACACAATAAAATCATTGAAGACGTCTGGGCATTTGCTTTTGAGATGTAGGACGACCCCAAAAAGAAATGCAATGACCATTTTTCTCTCTTCCCTCCTTTCTATTTTTTATTCTTTTCTTTCTCCCTCCCGCTCACTCACTCACTCAATCCACCCAAAAGCGTTCCCGCAATAGTCGATGGGGCACTGTGAATTAAGCCTACTCCCCCCCCCAAAAAAAGTATACCGGCAAAAACCCAAATAGCTGGGAGTTTGATTTCTTGCCCCAAACCCGGAAACAAACAGCAATCTAAACTCCCCAAACCCTAAACCCCTAAGCACAAAACACCTAAACCCTATACAAACCCTATAGGGGCCTTAATAATTACCAATACTATTTAGTGGGGTCCAGGGTTTAGGGGTTTAGGGTCGAAGGTTTAGGGACTAGGGTAATTCGAACAGGGTTTTGGGGGCTCCCATTATATTTGTAATATAATGGTCCCCAAACGCTTATTCTAAGGAAGAAGGACCCTTTTTGAAGCCCTGTTTCAGCACTTCCTGTGCTCGTTGCTTACCTTTCGTTAGTAGGGAATGGAAGAATGGTAGTAATAGTAGTTATAATTGTACCCCATTCCTCCATTCCCTACTAACCAAAGGCAAGTCAAGTCTGCGGTGGTGCACGACGAAGAGCTCGCGTTCAAACTGCACCGTCAAGACACGACCACCGAGACTGCCGATGAGGCAAAGCGGTTGGTGGCAGCTCGGAAGATCGAAGTGCTGCCTGCAGTGCAGCATGTGATCCACTTGCTGGGGCTGAACTGCACCGTCACTGTTCCCAGAGACTCCAATATCCCTTAATTAAGGAATATTCCTTAAATCATATTGGGGATCCCATTATAGTTTAAGGTATATTCCGTAAATAAGGGATATTGGAGTCTCTGGGTTCCCTCCTTGACCTCGTCCTTCACGGCTGCCAAAGTGCCCCCGCTTCAGCTTCTTGGGCTTGCAGACCTCGTCCGCATAACACGCGCTTGGGTTCGCCACGAACAAGAGTGTGCTGCAGGACTGCTGCTCGAAGAACAAGGCTTCGGGGCATAGGCATAGGATGTTTATAGTGTTAAAGATGGATTTAGGATTTAGGGTTAAGGTTTACGGCTGCAAGTACAACTATATACGGATGGTAGTGTGGCACTTAAGCTTAGGCTGTCATACCTCCGAAACCCAAGTCGGAATATGAGACGGTAAAAGATGGTAAGAGTACGAAGTGTTCAGACCCCTTCACTTGGCTGCTCAGTTCATATGTCAACGGTTTAGGGCTTAGGGCTCACACCCCAAATCCAAGGCGCCCCGAAGCCCCAAAATCAAAGCCGAGAAGGGATCCTTAATCTTACCTACGTTCATCCCACCTTTTGCATAAAGGGCTTCAATAGTTCCGTGAGTTTGAACCCCACATCCTAGACCCGAATCCCACACCCGACAGCCTAAAGCCCGTGTCTTACAACGTGGGCTTTCAACTGGATAGTCCCAAGAACTCTCATGTTGAGTTTAGGTTTTAGGCTTGGGGGGCTTGGGGGTTCTAGGGTTTCGGGTGTAGAGCTCAGGATCTTAGGGTCTAGGGTTCAGGGTTTTTTGTGTCTAGGGCCTTGAAACCCTCAACCCTACACCCCTATTGCCCTAAACCTAAACCCTAAGTTTTTTGTGTCTCCTGATTGCACGATGCACCGGAGGATGGCTGGTGTCAATCACCTGCCCAAATGCTCCATTTTTAATGCCCAACTTCAGCAAGTACTTCAATAAGTCATAAGCAGGGCTTATGGTTTAGGGCTAAGCAAACTACTGCAAAAAGTCATACATAAGAAGGGCTTATGGTTTAGGGCAGCTGGTGAAAAAAACCCTGGATTAAGGAGCTATGTTAGTATTTCATCATAAGGAACGAATATTCGCTGGCTCGATGCAGTGTGCCTCCAGTCACGAAGGGGTTTGGCGTCAGGGGCGTGAGATGTGTGGGCCTCGGGTGTCGCGTAGTCGTCGGAGGTCGGCAAACCCTCAGGTAGTAAGCCCTAAGTCCAGACGCTATCTAACTTGTCAAGGTGTCACCACAAGCACAAAGGACGTTTGTCCGAAGCAACACAAGACCGCGGTCGTATTTCATTTCTAGTGTTCTCCATTGCTGCATTTTCAATACTCGACAGTCCGGCCATTGTAACAGCAACTTCGAAATGATTTGCCTCAACAACTCTTTGCCCGCCGAGGTAACGGGTCTTCCCGTCTGTACCGGGAAATCCTCCAGGCGACTGGTTGGCGCAAGTTGGGCAATGAATAAAGCCGCAGTTCGGGCACTGCCATGCATTTTTCCGCCGATTCCCCGTGTACTGTCCGGCTACTAGCGGGACGGTTGTAGTGCCTCACTCTCCAGACGGGGCGGCTCTCTCCACGACACCCATGCCGAATCACCAGAATACTTCGCTTCCTGGCATTGCATTCAGGGTTTGGATTTATATGGGCGGTTGTCAAAATTATGGTCCCCATTAGGTCCCTATTACAATGCAGCACCTATTCTGTAGGGTACCCAAAAAAGGACCCTAATTTTCACAACCACCCATATAGGTTTAAGAGGGTTTAGTGGTTTCGGGTTTAGCCTTCGACTCGCTGAGCTCGATCAACACAGTCAGGCCGGTCGACCCGGAAATAATCCAAAAAAACCAACTCGTCCCCGCTGGCCTATGGGGGCCCCTAAACCCCTAAAACCTAAACCCCTAAATCCTAAACCTGAAACCCATCCACAAGCTCTCTCACTCTCACTCTCTCTCTCTCCCTCTCTCCCTATCTCTCTCTCTCTCTCTCTCTCTCTCTCTCTCTCTCTCTCTTCCATTTCTCCCCCGAACTGGTGGGAGTGCCAGGACTGCTTCGGTGGGGACTTAAGGTTTAGGGTTTAGGGTTCAAATTTTAGGGTTTTAGGGTTCAAAGTTTAGGGTCTAGGGTTTAGGGTTCAAAGTTTAGGGTTTGGGGTTTAGGGTTCAAAGTTTAGGGTCTAGGTTTCCGGCGGCTCCATCAACATTCTGGCCACATCGGGCCCTTCTGCGTCCATACGGATCCGCAGTTGATTATACCAGACGAAACGACACTATGACTCTACAAAATACTACACTATGCTACACTATACGATACCCCAAAAACCCTTTTCGATTGCAAAAGTCCTTAGATTAGAGGATTCATGTGTTTCAGGGCCGGGGTGGTTGAGGGTTTAGTGAAGGGTTTAGGGCTTTAAGAGTTCAGGGTTTGTGGTTTTAGGGGTTTACAGTAAGGTTTAGGGTTTAGGAGTTTAAGAGTTTAGGAGTTTAGGATTGAGGATGTAGGGTTTAGGAGTTTAGTGTCTTGGGCTTAGGAACTACTGCGAAGAGTGGATGGAGATGTCTGATACTTGGAGAGCACCGCACCCACAGCCATCAGCCTTAAGCCACACTGCCCTTTAAACCCTGAACCCAGATATATGCCAAAAAACTCGAACGCCAAAAATGAAAGAAAAATCCACAGGTCCTCCGGTGCTGCCTTTAGTGAAATTTAAGCAAGGAGCCTTAGTTGAGGGATATTGCACGTTTTTGGTGAACCCCGCTAAAACCCTAAACCAAAACCTTGAAAAGGCCGTCTGGGCCTGGACGAGCGGGAGGAAGTACCTCGGTACACCACGGATGTCGACACGATACTCAAAAATGAGGGGCGTGCTTCACTGAGCGGAATGAGGGTGTAGCGCAAGCCCTCTCACTTATAGTTATGGTACCTAAACCCCTAACTCTCAACCCTACACCTTAAACCTTGAAACGTACTATCCTGCACGAACTGAAAAAGCAACCTAAGCTCGAACCAGGTACAAACGAACCTTACGACTACTCAGGCTTGATGTCGGTTCGAGACGTGTTGACCAGTTTTGAAGGTTTCTGTAAGCGCTGCTTGCACTTCTTCATCCGACAGCTGCGCTCCAAATTTAAATGCCGGCTTTGCATCTGGGGACTTGAGTCTAGCCATCCTGGCCTCGGATTCTTATATGAAGCCACAAAAAAGAACTACTATGGAGCCTCTGGGTACCCAAGAACCTCCCTTAGAACTACCCCTCAGCCCCTAAACCCTAAACCCTAAACCCTAAACCCTGAACCCCTATGAACCCAATCACTTCTAACTCCACGGGGGCTCACTTTGAATACGGCGGGTGGGCTGGGCTTGCAGAGCTTTGTAAGGCTTTGTACCGTCTTTCGAGGTTTACACCATCCAGGCTAGTTAAAGGATCATGGGACTTAGTAACTGGGGTTACAAATAAGGTAACTATACATATAATTCCTTATAACCCCAATTAAGGTGCTTATAACCCTACTTACTAAGTCCCCGAACGCGCCAGTTTAAACTGTGGCCTACTGCCTTGAGAAGGACCCGAAACCCAGAGACTCCAAAACCTTGAAAACCCTAAACCCGAAACGCAATAACAGGGGACCCCATAGTGCACCATGACTTGTAACAGCCTGCAAATAGCTCAGTGAAAGGTTTGGGGGTTTATGGTTTAGGCTTTAGCCTTTGGCGGGGCGAGTCCACTTGCGCCTACTTCTTGGTTCTCTTGTAGAAGCAATAAAGCCCACAACTCTAAAGCCCCAAACCCCCTCAACCCCCTAAACCCTAAAGCCCACAATTCCCAAAACCCTGAGGAAACCCTAAATCCAGAGACTCCAAAATTCTTTGTTTGTCAAGGAATATACCTTAAATCATCTTCAGGATCCACTTATAATCTAAAGTATAGATTCCTGAATTCGGTCCCTAAACCCTAAACCCTAAACCCTAAACCCTAAACCCGTGCTTTTTGGAGTCTCCGGGAACCCTGACCTCCTCCGGTCAAATCGAGGCACGCCATGAAGAAGAGCAGCATCGTGACGTAGAGGTCCCAGACCTTTTAGGGGTCTGCTTTAAAGGTTCATGGGACTTAGTAAGTAGGTTGCTTTAAAGGGCTCCTCTTAAGGGATCTATATAGGGGTTCTAGAAGGGGTAGTTTAGGATACTTAAAGGATCATGGGACTTAGTAAGTAGGTTATAATTGGGGTTATAAGTCCCCTAAGTGGAGTTACCCTACTTATAACCTGCTCATAACCTTACTTACTAAGTCCCATGAGCCGTTAAGTAGGGTGCTAGGGTTCCCTCAAGGCATTCTTGAAGGGCTCCTTTAAAGGATTTGTAGGTTTTAAGACTTTAGGGGAATTAGGGTTTAGAGTTTTGAGAATGTTTAGGGTTTAGGGCTGAGGGTGGAGGACTTGGCTTTAGGGCTCGAAACCCGCAACCCACCGCCAAAGCCTGACCCAAAGATGTTTCCTGGCTGCTACCCTTGAATCCTGAACCCTAAACCCTAAACCCATACACCCGTACCCCTAAACCCTATAACCCCAAACCCTAAACCCTAAACCCGAAGCATCTCTACACCCTAAAGGTCGCTAGCTGTGACCGAGCCACTTCCACCCAGTGGACGTAGCCTTTTGCCTCGCAAAACAGCTGGTTCGGAGGTTTAGGGCTTAGGGTTTAGGGTTAAGGGTTTAGGGCTTGGGGTTTAGGTTTTTTGTTTTGAGGGCTCTCTTGCGTCTGCACGAGGGTCCGGCCTGCGCAGCAGGGCCTAGGGTTTAAGGCTTAGGGTGCAGGGCAAGAACCCCCCCTCCCAAGTGCCCCTTAACGGGGCCCTTGTGGGCATTAATTGTGGGTATTTTGTGTAATCTAGGTGGGGTTTAGCGATTTTGTGGTCTGTGGCTTGGGGTTTGAGGGCTGAAGTTGGGGGTTTTGGTTTTGAGGACTGGTCTGAGGGTTTTGGCAAAAGGGATAATGAAGGAGCAATGGTGTTCTGTACAAGCTTCTACTTTGGGGGGTCTTGGAACCATCTGGCATACCAAGTAATCAAGCAGGTTACAAATGGATTTGCAGGACCCGGCTCTTACCCAGTCACTGTTAGGGCTGATGATATAAATCCTGCATTACCCATCACAAGGAATATCTATAATAAGGAACCTTCAAAACTCGTAGACTTAATCATTCCGGCCCCCCCTTTTTTTAGAAACGCGCGAGGCGGCCCTGAAATCTCCCGAAGGTCGCCTTCTGGTGCTCGCCGAGCTCGGGCACCACGACGAACTGCTTCAAGAACTGATTGCACTCGAAACCTCTGCTCTTGTTCAGGGATTTACTAACCAGTGGACCCTAAAAGGGAACCTAGTAGATCTTAAACCTCTATAGATCCCTAATAGAACCCCTTTCAGGGAGCCCTTAACAGTGTACCTGGCTTCTTTCGGCCCTTTCTAACCAGTGGTTTTGGGGTTCCCTTGGCTCTTTAGCTCCTTACTCAATAGGGATTATCACCATCCCCGGCTCTTTAGCTCTTCCATTTTCCAAGGTTAGTTTAGCTTAAGTTACCATAATAGGGATCTGTCATAAATAAGAGGGTTTCCTTGTTATTAGGTTCTAGGGTTTAGGGTTTAGGGTTGGGATTTGGGAGTTTCCGATGATTAGGAGGCACTCTTTCAAGGGATCCTTTTGGGTTCCTTAAAGGGATCTATAAGGGTAAAGGGTTTGGGCTTAGAGTTAAGGGATTTAGCTTAAGTTACCATAATAGGGATCTATAGTAAATAAGAGGGTTTCCTTATTATTAGGGTGTAGGTTTAGGGTTTAGGGTTGGGATTTGGGAATTTCAGAAAATTCGGGGGCACTCTTCAAAGGGATCCTTTACGGCTTCCTTAAGGGATTTAGCTTAAGTTACCATAATAGGGAGCTAAATAAGAGGGTTTCCTTATTATCAGGGTTTAAGGCTTTCTTTTAGGGTTGGGATGTGGGAGTTTCCGAAAATTAGGGGGCACTCTTTAAAGGGGTCCTTTACGGGTTCTTTAAAGGGATCTACAAGGGTTCTATGAAGGTTTTGGGGCTTAGAGTTTCCGAAAATTAAGGGGGTACCCGTATTTTGGGGTCCTTACAAAAAAGGACCCTACAATTTAGGGTACTACAGTATGGGGGTCCCTGTTTTCGGAAACTCCCATGTAGCTTAAGTTACCATGATAGGGTATAGGGTTTAGGCGCTAGGGTTTAGGGTTGCAAGGGTTTGGGGTTTAGAGTTTAAGGTTTAGGGTTGCAAGGGTTTAGGGGTTAGGGCTTGCTGGGGTCTTGTTAGGGAGTCTAATTTAAGTTACCAGAAAAGGGGTCTACAATACATAAGAGGGTTTCCTTGTTATGGGTACTTAAAGGGTCATGGGACTTAGTAACTGGGGTTATAAATGAGGTAACTATACTTATAATTACTTATAACCCCAATTAAGGTATTTATAACTTTGCTTACTAAGTCCCATGATCCTCTGAGCAACTTTAACAAGAACCCAGTAACCACTGTCGGCGTCGCCCTCGTTCTCGTCCTCATGAACTTCCCTCGGCCGGGAGCGGTTGGGGATTTCTTGGCTCACGGCCCTATACCATGGAACCCCAACTCCTTGGCGAATGAGAGACCATATGAAGCTCTGTAAGGGTTGCTGTACGGTTTAAGAAGTTTAGGGTTTAGGGTGCAAGGTTTAAGCAGTTGAGGCAATAGGGTTTAGGGTTTAGGGCTAGGGTTGCTAAAAGCTCTAAAGGGGCTTGAGGGTGCTCCTAGCTCGTAGCTTTCCGCGCGAACCCCTTAGCAAAGAAAAACATGTCTTAAACCCTAAACACATACGGGTGGTTGTCAAAATCAGGGGCGGGGTCCTTATTGTAATACGGCACCTAATATTTAGGGTACCCAAAAAGGGACCATAATTTTGACAACTACCTAATACGGGTTCTGATAGTACCCTTCTATGAAACCCTATAGGAACCTAACAAGAGACCTTACAAAGCCCATAGACTAAAGACGACTTTGGAACCCGAGGAACACAAAAAGTAAGGACGGAGGGCTATGAGCTCCAAGATTAGTTAGGTACGGCCCCCATACGGTAAGAGTCTATAATAGGGCTACTATGAAGATCCTAATATATCTATATAAGGAATATTATTCAACTATTACTGAGTGGGGGCCGTACCGAAAAGATTCGTGTTTAGGGTTTAGGGGACCAGGAAGCCGAAAAAACTCTCCCAATGCCTGCCCTGACGGTTTAGGGCTTCAGGTTTACAGCATTTCTCCCGGACACCAAGCTTCAGAAAACTTCCTGAACCCCATATGCTCAACAACCCTAATACTTTACCACAGTGCTGCGAGCAATAACGCCACAAAAATAGACAGAGCAGTGCTATCGTTGTACCCCCCCTCCCCATCAACGCTGCAACAAGCCCTACACCTCGCTTAGGTTTCAGGGTTGAGGCTTCCGGCCCTAGACCTTGAGCCCAAACCCAAGAGTCCAAAGCTCAAAACCCCAAACCCTGAACCCATACAGTGCCTGATAGTACCCAAGCCCTAAACCCTAAAAAACCTTGTAGAAATTTTCCCTCCCAAAAGCAGGCCTGAGGCAGGCTTGCGCGATGTTGAAATTGCCTGGGTCGCAGTGCTTGGAAACGGCTTCAGGGTTTAGGGTTTAGGGTTCTCGGCTCGAAGTGTGGGGGGTTGCTTAAGGCTTAGGCTTGTCAGCATGTTTCGGTTTAGGGTGTACGGTCTGGTGCAAAATCCTGCACCCCTCAAACTCCAAAACTCCAAAACCCTAAACAGTCATCCTACCCACTCGTTGCTGATGCAAACAGGGTTTAGGGTTGAGGGTTTACGCTTTAGGCCCGAAATTCTTGCTGACGCAAAACTGTCTGGTGCTTAGTAGGACATGGGGGAAGGGATCCCTACAGTAGCCCCTATATAATCCCCAATCATAGTCTCCACAATCCATTCCTCCAGTCTAAAAACCAGACAGAAAAAAGCCCCCGGAGAACAAAAGCACAAACCTTAGGCCAAAACTTTTAACCCTAAAAATTAACGAACTCAATCGCGAACCTCAAGCTTAGAAACCCTGAAACCTAGTCCAGAAAGAATAAACCTTTCCGGGTCATTACCGCTGAAGCCTTAAGCTTCAACATAAATCCTAAACCCGAAGCCTGTAAAGTGGACCGCTGTTGAAGAAGGCCCCTCTCCGTAGCGAGGGGACTTAATGTTCGGATCCCCATTAAAGACCTTGGTAAAGCGAGGGGCTCTTTCAATGAATTGCATACATTGTGGTAGACTCCGTCAGCACCCGCATGAAGCAAAAAGAACTCAAACCTCTAAGCTTCACTAAAGTGTGAAGCCCTAAACCCCCGAGACCCTAAACCCTAAAGCGGGGGCAGCCCTTAGAGAACCAGCAGGGAAGCCCTCGAAGAGACAACCCTACAGCGTGAATCCCCAAACCCCAAGCCCTAGACTTAAACCCTAAGGCCCTAAGAACCCTAAACGGCTAAACCCCAAAGCCCTAAAACACTGAAGCCATAAACCCTGAAGCCTTACACTTAGAAGCTGCCCCCACCCTGTAATAGTGGTATAATGGGAACAAAATAGGGCCCTATTATAATCCTTATAGTCACTATTACAGGGTGGGGGCAGCTTCTAACCTTACGCCCTAAGCTCTAAACCTCAAACTAACCTCAACCCTGGACATGCCCTGCACCCTGAACCCAAAACACCAAAACCCAAACCCCCGGGATCCCTTTGTAGGAACCTTACACACTAATCCCCTAAAGAGTGTAGCCCTGAACCCCTTTCCTTAAAGGATCCCTTAAAGGATCCCGTTACAGGCTTTCTCACGCCCAGCGGCAGCTGACGATGGGGCTTCGATGCGCCAGGAGACGCTGCATGTCGCGACTGATTCGATCCTGCAGAGGGTTGAAGGGGCTTAGAGTTTAGGGTTTAAGGTTTTACGGTTTAGGGTTTAAGGTTTTACCCCCCTTAGAACCATGATCAAGATAATATGTTTAATATTCTCTGGGGCTTTATATGATCAAAAGCACAAACATAATTCGTCAGGATTAAGGGGTATGTTGCTTGAGGTCTCGGAGTGTTGACTTCGGGTTCTGCTTAAAGGATCATGGGACTAAGGAACTGGGGTTGTAGATAAGGTAACTATACTTATACTTACTTATACTTGGAGGGGCAGGGGACTTAGTAAGTAGGTTACAAGTAGAGTTATAAGTACTCTAGATGGAGTTACCCCAATCATAACCCTACTTATAAACGACTTACTAAGTCCCCTGCCCCGACCCTTGATAAGGACCCCTAGGTATATACCCTCAATATAGCTATGATATACCCACTACTTAGCCCATTATAGGGTAGGGGTCCCCATTTAAGGTCCCTCCTTTTCTCCCCTTTGGTAGGTGCTTCCGAAGCACCGTCCTCCGGTAAGTTGGGCAAGGTTTGCTTTGGGAATATGCGGGCTGCTCTCTTAGGGTTTGCCGAAGAGGCAGACCTTAACCCTACTTGAGGCCCATGGGACTTCGTGACTTAGTAAGGTTCTTCGCTATATCCCTAGCTACGGAGTCCCATGATCCCTTAAGTAGGTTGCATGGGCCCCTGACATTGAATCCCGACTTAAAGCTATGAAGCCCCAACCTCGAAGCCCTTCACCCGTCAACCGAACAATCCACAGAGTCTTTGCGCCACGAACCCCACCTCAACAAATCAATGCCCAGGCGACGGAAAACCCTCGAACCCCTGGAAAGGTCTTGCCATGAAACCGTGTTTAAACATTTAAACAACGGTACAAAACCCTAAACCCCAAATTCTACACCTCAAAGCTCCAAAACCCACCTTGGCCCCAAGTAACCTACCTTTTTAAGGACTTATATGAAGAAATCGTATTAGGGAGCCCTAAAATGGTATGTTCCTTAGGGTCCGGGAAAACCTTAAACCAAAAGGCTCAAATCCCTGCTAACCCCACTTGGAGGCTTATGGGACTTAGTAAGTAAGGTTATAAGTAGGCTTATAATTAGGATAGCCCAGCTTCGGCGACTTGTAAGCCCAATTATGACCTACTTACTAAGTCCCATGATCCTTTAAGCAAGCCCTGCTGAGCCGGGGACATGAGGTATCCTAGGCGTTGCCTCTTCGTCTGCCTGCTCCTCCTCCTCCTTGCGAAGGCGCTGAGGTTTAGGGTTTAGGGCTTAGGGCTCAGGGTTTCGGGCTTTAGGAGTTTAGGATTTTAGGGGTTTAGGGTGGTGTTTCAGAAAACTTCTAGAAGGTCTTCATAACTTCATAAGGTGAGGCTTCTATACCAGTCTGTAGTGAGGATCCCTCTTTTCGCGACGATATTGGGGTTTTGCAAATTTCAGAATGTGGAGTTCGGGATCTCCGGAGGTCGAAATTTCAGGCTTCGGCTTTAGGGTTTAGGTGTAGGGTTTATGGTTTTAGGGATTGGAGCTGCAGGGTTTAGGGGTAAGCATCCGGGGGTTATGATCAAGGCATCTGTTTCTGACCACCAATGTAGACCTCTGATGTGTAGCCCCAGTCATTTGCAGGATCCTAATATTGGGCCCTTGCAAAAAAAAATCCTGTAGAGGAAAAAGGGATTTTTAATGAGGGCTCTACATCATGCATCATGGTTAAGCTGATCAAGTGTTTATCAGCAGTACGGAATGCGATTATGCATGCAAGAGATGTTCAGATTCTAAGGTCTTCGTGCTCCCAGCTCCGGACCCAGAAGCCTTCGCAAGGTCTTCCGTTGGGGCCATTATGGTGCGATAGCGACAAAGGCGTAAAGGATCATGGCACTTCGTAACTACGGATATAATCACGCAGCCAATTGATTGTGAGCAATTCAGGTACTGAAAACTTAGAGCTTGTAACTTATAACTTTACTGGCTAAGTCCCATGATGCTTCAGGTAGGGAAGAAAGCATCCGACTACGTAGGATGAGAACCTCATCCTACACCCTGCACTTTAGCCCTAACCTGAACACTCAAATCCTAACCTAAACCGCTCAACCCTAAACCCTGAACCCTAAACCCTAAACCGTCTCAACCCGAAACCCCAAAGCCCGCTACCCCAGGATTACAATGCTCAACGCTCGGGGATCCGCCGTGTAGCAGGTGAAAGGCTTTAATTGGCTATATACTTGTATTATGGGGGGTGTTCTACTGCTTTGTTGCAGGTTATGTGCGGTTTTATGCCCTGCCTGATGTCGTCATAATTACACGGATTCGAGGAAAAAATGCCGGGAAACTTCAAACCCGGGCCGGACCGCTGTGCAGTGGATAAGTTTTGGTGGGTTTTAGGGTTTCGGCGTTTGAGGTGTTGGAGTCTCAAGGGGACGTTAAGAGTTTCGGAACTTCTTCGTAGGGCATGGGAGTTTTTAGGGTGGTAGGTTTGGGATCGAATTCGGGTAGAAAGTATTTGGCTTCGTGCTCTCAGGAATTTTTTCCGGGTCTGCACTCTCGAAAATAACCTGCACAGGAAGTTCAAGATCTTAAAGGCCCGCAACATCGCAATGCAAAACCCTGACTCTAACAGCACCAATCCGCAACTAACTCTTCAAGCGACAAACATAGAGAGAGAGAGATAGAGAGAGACAGACCCCGACAGACAGACGACACGACAGACACAGACTGACAGCACAGACAAACAATACAAGACAATAGACAGTACTGTTGATGATATAAATCCTGCATTACCTTAAGGACCCTAAACTATGGGAATTATGGTGTATTCCTTATTATGAGTAATGCAGGATTTATATCATCAACCGTATGGACAGGCAGACAGAACGGGCAGACAGCCCCTCCACCCTGAACCCCAATCTCCCCATGCTCGCTACTGCGCGGCATGCTGTTTCCTTTCGCCGACCACCAATAAGCCCTACTTAAAGGATCATAGGACTTAGTAAGTAAGGTTATAAGTAGCTTATAATTAGGATAACCCCACTTAGGGGACTTATAACCCCAGTTATAACCTACTTACTAAGTCCCATGATCCTTTAAGTAGGGTCGGCAGCTAGCTTATTCAAGGCGTTCCATACGATCTCAAGAGCAAACCCATGACCCGCATCTGAACCCTTCAATTTTGATACTTCTGTTGTGTGGCGTCATTACACCTGTAGGAATCCTGCCTTCATTTAGGGATTAAGGTTCCGGATTTCTGTTTCTGCTTGGGCCATTAACAAGACGCATTTCTGTTGGTTCTTCTTTGCCTCTGGGAACATGTTTGCCAAACCGGACCCTCAAAGCCCGTCAAAGTCTGGCAACCTTGGACTCAAACTGTTTTCCGAAGCCTCGACACGACGGTCTCAAGACGGAATCGCAACGAGCCCGACTCCACTCCAGCGAAGATCCGAGCCAGACCGTGATGAAAAAAACACGAAGCACAAACGACCTGTACAGCGTACCAGCCACGTGGTGTACTACACCTAAATCAAGGTGACAGCAAAGCAATTCCTTTCGACACCCGCAGCAAGGCGTCTACTGCCAGTTGCGCTGCCGGGACCCGCTTTTCCAAGTTAGCCAATATCATGTAACATCTCCAGGAATGTGGTCCAAACGATTTGCAGCATCGGCGCCAGCACCAAAGCCATGTTGCAGATGAACACAGCACTGGAAGCCGCACCAGTGCACATGTGGACCAGCGAATACCACAGCAGTGGCACCGCCGCGCCAGTGACATGGTTGTAGAGCGGCAGCAGCCCCACGTCGTACACGAATTGCATGACAGAAACTATTCCCAAAGGCAGCCGCACGAAAACCGTAAGCATCGGACACAGAACCTGCCAATAGAAAGGCCCCATGTCGTAGATGAACACAGCACCTGAAGCTACCAGCGTGGGCACCCGGAACAGCAACAGCAGCAAATGCCACAGCAGGTTGCACTCCACGGAAATTTTCAGCTGTAGCATCGGATCCAGAAAGTATTCGCACCAGGACAACAGTAGCGTCACTTGCATGTTGTAAAGCAAGTCCAGCAAACGATAGGTCGCTAGAAGAAGGAAGAAGATTTGAAGAACTTCCCCAAACGCTTGCCAAAACCACAAGATCATCAGCAAACGCGGTGAATGCCATAGCAGGTTGTATTCCACGAGCGCTTTCCAAACCAGGTCTAGCATCGGAGCCAGAACGCGCGAAAATAAAGCGCCCAGCGTCATCAAAGCCATGTTGTACATGAGGACTGCACCGGTAGCGACCAATGAGCACATGCGCAGCAGCAAGCATAATAAATGCCACAATAGTATTGGAGCTGGGGCAAGGACACAGTTGTACAGCACCAGCCCCATGTTGTACAAGAAACGTACGGCCGAAACGATTCCCGCAGACAGCTGCGCCAATGGAGTCCACATATGCAGTAGTCCAGAGATGCCAACTGCTCTCACCACAGCATAGCAAACCTGCAAGTAGTTTAGTGTAGAGGGCTGGGCATTTGAAGAATTGAGGGCTTAGGTGTTTAGGCTTTAAGGTTCAGGGGGGTTTGGCGCTTCACCAACCCCAGAATCTCGGAAAGACAGAAACCGCAGCAAAAAAACGCCCACAAGCCCTGAACCCCAAAGCCCAAGAACCCTAAACCTTCTGCCCCCAAGCAAGGCCCAGAAGCGACGCAGCCAGCCCCGATGCAGGCCACATGCCATAGCCAACGGTCGAGCTGGTTCAAAGATCGCTTCCTCAGATCGGGAGGGTTTAGGTCTTAGGGTCCAGGGTTTGGGGTAGTGTCTAAGGAAGTGTGTCGGGTTTAAGTACTCTTCAGTCGTTTATAAACATACAATTGTCACAACCTCAGGTGGGGTTTGGGTTTCTTCACACAATCGGACTACGATGAAAGTTCAGGGGTTGTTCCGGGTCGATGGACCTGCTGGGCACGGCTTATTGGCCGAAGTCTCACT